AGTGGGAGGAGACACCAGCGGAGCTGTTTGAGTCACAACGTTCAGCGTTATATTACCAATAGTTTCTCTTTCCATAACAATATTCTCTCTTTTTGGAAAGATCACCAACGTGATGCAAAAGTTTACGTTATATGCAGTAGTTTTAATGTCTGCGGGTTATTCCAGAGACTGGCCTGCTACAAGGAGTTGCCCGTTTTAACCAGATTGTCGATGTGCGCGGGGCAGAAACTCATAGGCGACGGATATAATCAGTCCGATGTACAGTACGCTAGGCTTAAAGCCACAGATAGTTGTCCGGTGAAGAGAGAAGAAAGAGCGATGAGACGCCAATGTAACCCTGCTCACAAGTGCCACCTGGTGGTTGTTTTGGTCATTGCAGCGGCACTGGGAGGGGGGGAAATAAAAGACGCGTGAATCACACGTGAGTCTCGTGTGATTCATGCGTGAAAGGCGACAAAACGAAATGGGACCTACTGTAATCTTAGTATTTTACACACCTGAAGTACAAGCACAGAGTGCGTTGCCAAAGGGCAGCGGCCATTATTGGTTTGAGAGGTCCATTATCAAGAATGAATGATGAGTAGAAGGTTTTGAAATTACATTCAAATCAATGGAGCATTCTACTGCTGCTGTGAGGAGCTGTATAGTAAATTATGATAAAAAAATTGAATATTTAAATTCATGATCTCTCCTCCGCATGTCTTGGTCCATCAACACGTAAGCGAGGGTCGGGGGAGCCCTTGTGCCCAGACGGGACTGCCCCTGCGGGGTATACTCTCAGCTGGAACAAGTTTCAACCCCTCTGTCTGTCGGTCCTGTCTGTTGAAGATTCGGAAGACTTAAATATATCTTTGGAATTCTGGTGGTGGGGATCCTCCTTTTCGGGTTTGGAGCGGTCCTTTTCTACCGCAAATTCGGAGGCATGGCGGTTCGTAAGATTCATGACCTGTTGGCCAACAAAATTGATGGGATGTACAAGGAGTTAAGCCGTGTTGTGGTTGAGAGCGCAGTGACTGGTCAAAGGAGAGTTGTACTAATTGAGCAGTTGCTTAAAGATCTCTTGAGAGAGAGCAACACGCTCTCTCGAGGGACATAAGACATTAGAGATGAGGCTGAATGACATTGTGTGCCAGGCTTGAACTCTCTGACCCGGCATGGATGTGCCCCTGTGTACGGAGGTTTGTAGGAGGAATGTAGATAATTGTAGGAATTGTAGGAATTGGAATACATCGATGTATTCCAATGTAGTTTTTATACTGCACATGGCTAATAAAATAAATTTGAATCTGATAAACTGGTTCCTCCAAACTACACACCACTTTGCATTTCCAGCATGGATCCCGCTCCCCCTGCCTCCCTCTACCTCTCCACTCCCTTCTCCCTCCCTCTAAGTGTTTCCTGCTCACCCCCCCTCACCTAGCCCCCTCTGACGGCCCACAATGGCAAGGGCGGCCGGAGTTTACTTCCATAATAAAAACGTCCGTGTTTTATCCAAAACATAATGTGTCTTATCCAAACTGTCTTGTGATATGTATGTTACTGCTCTCTGCTGTTTATTCTACTGTTTGTCGCATGGCAAGAGCTCTGGTGTGTGTCGTCTTCTCTGTCTGGTGCACACTGGGGTAGTCTTGCACAGTTTTTCCAATGTGGTTTTACTGCAATGGCAAATAAATTAATCTGAATCTGATCTGGCGCGTGCACGGAAAAGTAGGCGCGGCTTCAAGAACAATCAGAAAGGAAGGGGGAGGGAGCTTGGCTTTTCTGTTTTTTCGGTGGCTACAACTCTGGGGGAGCTTGTCCTGCCATCTTCAATTTACCAGTGAGTCTGCGCCTCTCCGTGTGTGTAGTGGCCCGTACTTAACGATGCACCTGGCATGAGAGTTTTCAATACCAGCAGTAAACTGTGCCATCTAAGATCCTTACGGTTAACCTACCACAGGCTTTTATAATCGCGATTATTGTAAAACCGGTTTTAAATCTTGGCAACCCTATACCATCACAATGTCAGGTTGGCACGCTCATTCTCCGCCACCCTTTGGAGGAGTTTCTCATTTTGACCTTGGGGTTTCCAGCCCATACTCTGCACAGATGTTTCTGTACACTATGTGACATAGGAGGCGACAGGGGCTTCTGAAGGTTGTGGGTTCGAGCCCACCGCTGAAAGATCTATGTGTACTGGGTGCAGCTCTGACTGCCACCCCCCGACCCAGAAATGGATTAAGGGGAAGAAAATGGATGGAAGGATGGATGAATAAATCCACATAAAATGGCATTAACATTATTAACATTCTGTCTTTAGACACTATTTTTTCAGTTCAACATATTCCGCTTCAGAGAAAGCCTCCTCTTTCTTCTTTTTCTCTGTCTCATAAAGGCTGTGGAAAAATTAGGTACCCCAGCTTTAATTTAGCGAGTTTAGTTGCATTGCCGTGTATTTATGGCATGCACAGGTCACGCAAAGACAAGCACACAACATGCAGAGAATAGCTCTGTGCATGTATGGTCTTCCTTACAGCGACGCCGTTCACCGTTCGGAGGTGGAATCGCTGTCCAGAGCAGCCGCAGCTGCCCCAGGTCAGAACGCTGGGGTCACGAGGAATGCATGTGTCCGCGGCATTCTGAGTGTTATTATGGGATGCATGGGCGGGTCATTCAGTTCATGCGTCAAATGCGTTAATTTATTGAAAGTGATAAATAATTTTTTTTAATTTTGACAGCCCTAATATATTTATATATTACACTCACCGACCACTTTATTAGGTACACCTATCCAACTCCACTTTAATGCAAATTTCTTATCAGCCAATCACATGGCAGCAACTCAATGCATTTAGGCATGCATACGACATGTTCAAGACAATCTGCAACATTTCAAACTGAGCGTGAGAATGGGGAAGAAAGATGATATAAGTGACTTTGAACATGACATGATTGTTGGTGCTGGGCTGATCTGAGTATTTCAGAAACTTCTGATCTACTGAGATTTTCATATAAACATCTCTAGGGTTTACAGAGAATGGTCCGAAAAAGAGAAAATATCCAGTAAGCAGCATTTCGGTGGACAAAAATGCCTTGTTGATTCCAGAGGTCAGAGGTGAATGGCCAGACTGGTTCGAGCTGATAGAAAGGCAACAGTAACTCAAAAACCCACTTGTTACAACCAATGTATGCAAGAGCCTCTCTGAACACAGAACACTAGGCTACAGCAGCTGAAGACCACACCGGGTGGCACTCCTGTCAGCTAAAAACAGGAAACTGAGGCTACAATTTGCACAGGCTCACCGAAATTATACATACTGTATACATTCTTAATACACGTGCACGATGGGTTTCAGAAGTATCTGTTAAGGTTTTCATGACAAAAATACTGTTTTAATGCAAGAAAAAGCGATCGTGAAAAACCCAGAATTACACTGCACACAAAAACTTAGGGCACACTCAAAAAACACGAATTGACTGACTCTAGATGTCAATCAATTCAAATTTTTGGATGAGAATCTTTATTCATAGTGTGTTGAGAACAAAATAACATAAGAATGATAAATGGAAATCAAATTCTCAGCCCCTGGAGGTCTGAATCCAAAATTATAGTCAAAATCAAAGTGACAAATGAGGTAACTGGTGGATCCAAATTCTGTAGAAATTCCTCAAAACGAGTCTGTATCATCCTCAGAAGTGTGTGTGGCCTCCACGTGCCTGAATGCACTCCCTACAACGCCTGGGCATGCTCCTGGTGAGACCACGGAGGTCCTCCTGAGAGATCTCCTCTCAGATCTGGATTACAGCATCAGTCAGCTCCTGGACAGTCGGTGGTGCAACGTGGCGTTGATGGATGGGCCGAGACATGATGATCCAGATGTGGTCTATTGAATTTAAGTCTGGGGAACGGCCAGGCCAGTCCAAAACATCAATACCTTCATCATGCAAGAACTGCTGACCCACTCTTGTCACATGTGGCCTGGCATTATCATGCATCAGAAGGAACCCAGGGTCCACACCACCAGCATATGGTCTTACAATGCCAATCAGGGAACCTATGGCTAGCCCATGGAGGGCTGTGCGGCCCTCCAATGAAATGCCTCCCCAGACCATCACTAACCCACCACCAAACTGGTCATACTGGATAATGTTGCAAGCAGCAGAACGTTCTCCAGGGCGTCTCCAGACTCTGTCACATGTGCTCAGGGTGAACCTACTCTCATTCATGAAGAGCACAGAGCACCATTGGCCAATCTGCAAATCGCTGTGTTCTCGGGCAAATGTCAATCGGGCTGCACGGTGTTGGGCAGTAAGCACCGGCCCAACTTGTGGGCGTCGGGCCCTCATACCACCCTCTTGGAGTCGGTTTCTGACCGTTTGAGTACCAACATGCACATTTGTGGCCCTCTGGAGGTCATTTTGTAGGGCCGGGCAGTGCTTCTCCTGTTTCTTTGTGCACAAATGAGCAGATAGTGGTCCTGCTGCTGGGTTGTCGACCTCGGTTGGCCCCCCCAGGTCTCCTGGTGTACTGGCCTGTCTCCTGGTATCTCCTCCATGCTCTGGACACAGCTCCTCAAGATCCCTCTAGTGGTGAGAACACTGGACAAATGCAAAAGTGTTCAAAAAATACGTACAAAGGATGAAGACAGGGAAATGGTAAAGGCAAAACCCTTCCTCTTTTGGAGTGATCTTGCTAATTGCCTCTCATTTCCACCTGTTTGTTTAATTTCCACAACACCAGGTGAAATTGATTCACAATAAGTGTGGCTTCCTAACTGGACAGTCTGATATCCTTGTGACTTGGAGTTACATTGTGTTTTTTGAGTGTGCCCTAAGTTTTTGTGAGCAGTGTATATTCCGGGACATTTTAGGACACATTTGCAGAGGATCGGATTTTGGATTTAGGTTAACTTTTTGATCTGATATTATAATGGGATTGATGGATGTTCTTGTCATGATATCAGCATATATTCTGGACATTCCTAGGAAAGACATGTGATTTTCAGTGGTGGCGCACATACCTGGTGCTCCGGCGGTGTACACGCCTCCTCCTCTTGTTGTGCGTGCATGGCTTTCTCGGGGCCATGTGGCCGGTTGCCAGGTGGGCCGTGACCAAGGCGGGCAGCCTCTGCACTGGCGGTGGAAGTATAGTGGTCGTCTGCGATGGAGATCTCCTCATGGTCCTCAACCTCCAGCTGGCTCTGGTTGAAACGCAGCGCGCCCTTGAGGATGTCTTTGATCTGAAAGGACAAAACAGTTCAGACTCACTTCATGAAAACAAGCGTAGTAAAGATGTTACATCAAATATCAAAACTATTATGACAGCTATTTCAGTCATGTTGTGTCCAGTTAAAAAAGCTCTCCTATCTGCCTCTATTCAGTTGTGATGTGTCCAAAACGAATTCTGATTTCAGTGCATAAGTACTTAATGACCAAATACCAGGGAAGCACCTGCGGACTGCCCCGCCCGACCCGCCTGGGAGTGCTTCAGTCCTGCACCGGACCTGTCCACGTTCAGCGGCCACTGGTCCACGTTCTGTAGCTAGCTTAGGTCCTAGATCATTAGCCTGTCCGTCCGGAGGAGCGGATCCCTAGTTCCCGAGTTTTTCCTTGCCAATGCAGGAGGGTCTTGTTGGACAGTTAGTGTCCAACAGAAAGGATTGGTGATGATCAGGACACTTTAGCATTCTACAACATGTATGGACATTTTCTTCTGTGTGTGCTTTATATTTTTCATGTGTTTTAACTGTTGATTCTCTGATCTGTGTTGGTGATTTCAATGGTTTTGTTAAGTCCTCTGAGATGACTTCTGTTGTGACCTAGGGCTATACAAGAATAAATTGTATTGTATTGTATTATATTGAGGTGCGGTGAGGTTGGTGACCTCACCCCAATCTGATGAACATAAATATCAACAAGACCAACAGAGCGGCTTATTCACAATTTGTTTGGCAACAGCAGAATAGGTTTCATGTCCGAATTGTTTACTCTTACAAAGTATGTAAAAATCACATGTAAGTGTGTTAACTGCACTGACCACTTCAGTTCAGACCAATGTTCCCTCTAATTTTTTCACGGGTCAGGGCAAAAACACAAACCCCCTGAGCGGCACGTGGAACACTCTGAGCGAGAGATCTCTGTTGAAAACCATTCACATTTGTATACACCTCCTGTATACACACCTGCTGTTCTCATTTATTTAAGTTACTCCAGCTTCAAACAACTATGAATCTGTTCAATATTTCACCTGATCATGATTCAAATGAGTCTTTTATAGATGGTGAATTAAAGTAGATTGAGGAACATTTTTTGTGAATTGCAAATATTCAGAGGATTTTGTCTATTCGTATTTAATATAGACTAAGTAGAGTATATTTATACTTAGCATTAATGGTTTTATTTAGTTATATGGCTTTATATAATAAGATCCATAGACCTATAATTATCTAAGATAATATTAGTCAAATTGCCACAAAACCAACTTTACTCAGCAATAGGCAACTTTGTGCTGAACTGAAGGGGACGCTGATCTGACCAGACCTGGTCTTCCCTATAAGTGTGTGTGCTTTAGGTGTGTTTGTGGCTCCACGCACACACTGCAGCATGTGTAGTGCTCGTGAGACACCGCTCGCAAGTCCGCGGCAAGACCGAGTGCGCGAGTTCACGGTGTGCAGGGTGCAGTTGGCTCGAGCCCTGTTCTGGATCAAACAGAGCTTCAGACTTCTGTGTCGGGCGCTTCTCCCGCACTCGCGGACAGTGTACCTCATGGTTACTGACAGAGAGGCTCTGACTTTTTCTTTTTTTGAAAATGAAGCCTGTGCAGATCCACCATGGTCCATACACTGCTGAAATATGCGTCCGCATCATTGGTGCTGGAGGCACAGGACGCTGGATTTTCATTGTGTGCGCAGGAAAGGGTTGTCTGTCCGCCAAGACCCTAAAAGCACTGCGCAATTGCGCACGCGCACAGCTTAGAGGGAACATTGGTTCAGACCAGTTTTGTTTTTAAGTCCAGATTGTAGTTTGAGGGTTAGGGTTAACCCTAATCCGCTGATCTGTAATGCTCCATTGTAAATTAGTCCAATGAGTTTTAAAAAGTAAAACAAAACAGGTGTCTCCTCCATGTTTTGCTAGATGCAGCCGACTCTCTGGTGCATCCGATTTACACCCTCTTACCCATCACGTCTCTTTCTCATCATTCCTGTTGTCATTGGAAGCATAACATTTCCCTAAGTGTATTTTAAATCATCTTAAAATGTGTTACATGTATTTTAGCCAAACCTGTAGCTGCTCTTAGAAGAGGAAGAACAACCACTTTGCGGCTCTCTGATTGGTCGCTGCATGAGCGTCCCGAGGAAACGCTCTCCTGCGTGAGTTGATTTTCCGCTCCTGCGTCTCTGCCGCGCTGTCTGTGCATCCCTACTGCGCAGTTCGTGCGTGCATCCCGAGATGCACATGCCGTTCCACGCTCAAACGTGCGTCACCATTGACTTTGCATTGAAAGTCACGCATGATCCCGTCTGAACGCGGCATAAAGTAAATATGTTTAAACTTTGTAACTGCGATAAACAGAGGAAACTGTTTCGATAGCACCCACTGTGAGCTGCAGTGTGGGGAAACACACACCAAACTAACACAAACCCAATAGGTTTTATCCAAAGAAAGGGCCATGCAAATTATAAATAAAGATGGATACAGGAATCATACAAAAAACCTTTTCATCAGAATAAAAGCCTTGACATTCAATGACTTGGGTGTACTTTAAAACTACAAAGTTTATGTTAAAGGTAAAAAATAATGAGTTCCCCATTTTGATTCAGAACCGGTTTCAGAGGAGGGAAAGTGCCCGAGAGGGAGAGATATGTTTGTTAAGCGCAGTGTTAGAACAAATGTAAAACTGCATTGTGTTTCTGTTTTTGGAGTGAGTTAGTTGTAGATTTAAAAGACTGTAAAAGTAAACAGCACTTCAAGACTTTGCTGAAGGTTTTTTTTTTCAAACATATATTGATAGTGAATGCTGAGCAGGAAATAACCTTAATCATGGAGTCAATGTATTATTTTGAATTGTGTGTAGCCAGGTCCGGCCCTAGGCGAAAATATAATATGGCGCCCCTTGCACACTTGTAGAGGGCATCACAAAGAACAAGTGCGCCGTGAAAGTAGTCGCAAACCTCCTTCAGATTTAAAAACAATTAAGTTTAAAATGTTGGCTTCTATTTCCACTTTTACGTAAGAAACAGCCAAAAGGAGCCACCTGCTGTTAATCAGTGTTGCGTAAGTTACTTCAGAAACGTACTACAATTATGTATTAGATTATTTTGAAATAACAGTAATAAGTATCACACTACAATAGTGCCCTGTACGGGCCTTATATCTGGGCCCGAGCCCGGCCCTGGCCCGAGGGGGTGGAGCGCCAGCCCGGTCCGACAGGTTTTTAGAATTCTCAGGCCCAAACCCGTATCAAGCCCAACTTTTTTTTTTTTTTTACCAATGTTTTAGTGTAGTATATAGTGATATGAACACAGGCCCGGCTAGAGGGCGGAGTTATACATGGTAGTGAGCCGCAGCTGTATGATACCCAGATGCCGCAATAAACTACAACCCACTTGAAGGTAACGCTATGTGTCGTCAATGACAATACTATACAGAACAACAAATACTACAGCTTGATAGAACGCTATATTTATTGGGTGCATTCGTTAATGTAATCTGCCGCTTTGAAAATTAATAAATATAAGTGCCCAAGCCCAACAAAAAAGGATAAGGATTTAATCATCTCAAGTTCAATTATTATATATTCATTTCAGTCTAATAATAGAATGAGTTGTTAAACTTGGGATAAACTGGTTAATCCTAGTTCAGGTTCAGCCCTGGCTCAGCCCTGGCTCAGCCCTGGCTCAGTCCTGGCTCAGTCCTGGCTCAGCCCTGGCTCAGTCCTGGCTCAGTCCTGGCTCACAGCAGCTCACTGCTTTATTTACAAAACATAATGGAAGTGCATCATTCTTGCCGCTGTTTAAAACGTGCCGCGTCGCCGTTCATCACGCACATATTTTCCGCCCATTGCGTAGTGTCCGTCTCTGTCTCAAACAGAACTCTGTAGAAAGTCATATCTCTATGAAAACGGACACTTTTTGAACGCTTTAAAGATCAAACCAGAGCTTAGACTCTTATCTATCCATATAGGCTACATGTATCTGTTTATACCTCTACTTTGAGCCCGTTTCTAATTTTCTTCTTTTCTTCTGCGTTTATTGGCTGCACCTGATGAATTGGACTGCCTTTTCATGATAACGTTGACCAAAAACACGTCCACCTATCTTTCACACTTTCTGGGATGCGCGAGGATGCCCCTCCCCCACCTACAGCAGCAGGGTTCAATGATGACAACTTTTATTAAGTTTATAGTATACATACATTGTTTTTTTCAATCTTACATGATGGGAAACACTTTGCAGAATAATACAAAAAAGGCTGAAATGTTGCGCCCCATCCTGCAGATGTCCCTATGCCCTGGGCCAGCCCTGTGTGAAGCAGCTATTTAAGTTTAATGTATACAAAAGGGTAGGCGTTTAAAAGCTTTTGCTTCTGCCTTTTCCTTTTTCAGACCATACTTTGACCTTTTTTTCCCCCCCAAGTGCCTGACTTTGTTTTGAATTGTCAAAAAAGTCTGAAAGAAATTTGAAAATCTACAATTTTTAGGTAAAAATATATGAAATAAAGCAAAGTTACTTTGAAATAATACAATAGCACAATTCACTTGATATAGTGCCGAAGTATTATTGTTTCCATTTTAGTCTTTTTTTCTCTCCATGATTGTGAGGCCCAGCCTCACCTGACTGCATGTCACTGCAGGGAAGAACCCTCTGGTCAGACCCGAATGAGACCCAATTTTCAGAAGCTTGTATCAGAAAAGGCCTGCTGCACTGACCTGTTTGAGTCCAGCCAATGATACCAGCACCTCGTCCTCCTTCTGCAAGTGCTCCTGCAGAATGACGTCCTGGATTTTACCTGACAAAATGTACACAAAAGTATCAAGACTGAATGATATAAAAAAAAAATGTCCTAAGATTAAAACCAGGAGAAAGAATAGAAAAATAAAATTATGTAAATGTTTCTACTGAGTGATCAGTGGCCCTACGTGATGTTTTGGGCTTTAAGATCAACTTCAGTTCTAATGTGTGAAATGGTTCTGTGAAATCTCACACAGCCACGTTTCCACTGCAGGGGTAATTTTCCAGGGCCAGCCCCATCGGTGCGTGTCTCCACTGGAAGAACTTCCCCCACAGGGCCATTTACAGGAACTTTTACGGGGCCCAACAGAGTCCCTTCTTCATGCTAGGTACTCCGTTGGGCCCTGGTGGGACTTGAGGTTAACCCAGCACAGCAACTGGCTAAAGCAGCCATTCCCAAACTCAGTAACACCGAGGCCCCCTTAAAAATCTGACGGGTCTGCGTGGCCCCCCAAAATAATAACCAAGAAGACAACATTAAGAATAGGCTCTTCTGGTTATTTTATTTTGGGGAAATAGCCTCTGCTACAAACATTGTAATACAAAAATTATTACAGTGGATTATTCAAGTCAAATAATGAACACAAATATTTTAATATTACAAACAAAACATTATAAATTTAACATTAAATAATTATATTGGTAGAGCATTGGCCTTAAGGCCAGAAGGTCGTGGGTTCAATTCCCACCTCTGCACCTTCTCCATCGACTCCCACTGATGACTGCTGTCGTTGTGTCCTTGGGCAAGACACTTAACCCCACTTTGCCCAAACCCCCCACTGAAAGATCAAGGCTATGCTCACACTCAGAGCAGCCGTCCTCCTGTAGACTCACCACCTGCAGAGGATCAGTGAGGGGCTGGTGCTATGAGACTTGGGTGGCATCTCTGACTGCCACCCCCCTGACCCAGAAATGGATTAAAGGGTAGAAAAATGGATGGATATATATTTTTTTATGACCTCCCGCGGCCCCCCTGCAGTACCCTCGCGGCCCACCAGGGGGCCGCGGACCCCACTTTGGGAGACACTGGGCTAAAGCAAGCACAGGCTGACGCCAGCAGAAAGCCCCAAAACAACTGGCATTCAGCAGAATTAGCCTAGCAGACACCACTGCAAACGGCGAACAACAGCACGGTGATTGAGATGGGTTTGAGGCACCGCGGCAAAATGAAAAGATATATGAAGACATATCAGCTTCCCTTTGAAGCACTGGGAATTAGTCACACTCCAAAACAAGCCGTGAAAAGTTTTTTCAAAATACGGTTACGATTGTAAAATACACAAATGGGTTTGGCGGAATGAGTTTCGCTTATGCGGCAATCGAAACTCATGACGTCGCTGAGTGGTCCTGCTCTGCAGTGGAGACACAGACACTGAGAGGACCGAGGGAGAGGAAGGTACCTGTAAAAGTTCCACCTCACTCCTTTTACTCACTCAAGCGAAAAAATTATCAAAGAAGAAATATAGTCCGGGTGAACATAGCTAGCTTACATCGTATCCTCCGGAGAGAATAGTCTATGGGAGAGACCTGCGGGAGCGGGACCGCCTCGGACTATTTATGCTCGGACTACATTCGGACGCGGAACTAGCGGTAATCTTTCAGTTACATGTTTTGTTAGCAGTGAGTTGCTTTTGTACCATTTCATCAGTGATTGTTGTACAGCTTACAAAAAGTTGCAATCATGCTAATGTTTGCATACGTATCTGATCACAAATACATCTAGATGGCTCCATGGAATGAGAGCGTAGGGAAAATGAGAGGCCTGTGAGCGACTTGAGGGGCGGTGCTAAACATTCAAACCTTGCAGAAACGGGTATAGCTCCTTTAATTTGTAGTTTTAAATGACTAGTTTAAAGTGACAGTCTGGAGTTTGTCAGAAAAAATAGAGAAAGGTACATGATTTGAAAAAAAACCACCCAAGCTCCCTCCCCCTACCCTTTCCACCGATCATTATTTCTTGATAACGGACCTCTCAAACCAATAATTACCGCTGCCCTTGGCAATGCTCTCTGTGCTTGTAATTCAGGTGTGTCAAATGCCAAGATTACTTTGGACAGTAGTTTGAACACTTCGTCACAACGAGCTTTCAACGCCTGTCACTTATTACTTCTGTCTGAGCGAGAGAAGCTGTCGAAGCTAGTCACGGAGAATACATTATACATATACATTCTTAACACACGTGCAGGGAGGTTTTCAGAATTTCCAATTTCACGTTTGCCACCCACTCTCCCTGTTGTGACAAAAAAAGAAAATGCTGCATATTTGGTTTGGTGGAGAGGCGAGGGGAGGGAGGAGGAGAGTGGTTTCGAGTTGGTGCTACGGCTAAGCCAACAAAATCGCTTACTGCACCTTTAACTACTCATTAAAAAAAATTACTTACAGATGTGGGTATTCATCATGCGGGCACAGTACTTGCTCATAGCCTCCAGGTCATTGATTTGTCCCTGCAGAAAGGAGATCTGTGCCTCCAAGTCCTCCTCCTGAGGACACACCATATACAGCAATTAATATGAACTGTTGTCCCATTCATAGAAATAGACTTCAGAACATGTAGAGTGATCGTGTGTTATGTGACCAAGCTGGACATGAGGTGCCACAAAATGGTAGAACTTAGCGTTGGGCCAAGAGCCATGTTTTGAACTAGGCTCTAAAGCAGTGTTTTGGACCGGCTTTCGGGCTGTGTGTTTCCAGACACGTCTCTGATTCTCAATGGTGTCTATACGTGTTTCCAGACCACATCTGTGTGTTCTAACCGTGTTTCCAGACCACATCTGTGTGTTCTAACCGTGTTTCCAGACCACATCTGTGTGTTCTAACCGTGTCTCTGCGAGCCATGCTCTTGCTGTGCGATCTTGAGCGCGTGATGTTGAAGAAGGACTCTTTCTTGGTGGCGGAGAGTGGTGGGGAGGCTGCGTTAATGTCACCCGCCCTGGAGGCGTGGAGGGGGGAGGCACTGAACTGGCCCTTCCCCGACAGGCTCTCCATGCTGGGGGAAGAGCTGACCACCGGAGATCCCTGGCCTGCAACAAACGCGGAACACACAGGTTTAGCAAGTCATAAGTAATGACCTGCAGGTGATCTGGAGAAGGGGCCTTGAAAAAAAGCAAGTGAAGAACAAGCAGCAGATGTGGGAAAATGGAAGCACAGAAATTTTCGGGTCAGGCCTAATTTATCAATATATATTTGAATAAACATGACAAGAAAGAGGAAATGGATTCTACTAGTGATGGTGGGATCCAATTGAAGAGCTTTTCTACTAAAGAACATCCGCCAAAACGGAACTTCTAAAAAGGTAGTTTAACACGGGGGAGGGGGCCAGTCAGACAGATCTCATAGATCTGTCAGACAGGCCGCATCTGGCAGTAGCCACACCCTTTTATACATGTAAAACATCTATTTAGTCATTATTTGGTCAGTTTATTGCATCTAGTAGGAACGAGTTTGTATGTTTATGACAATTCCATTTAATCTGTATAAATTTCGGCTTTCCATGTATTTGAAAGTTTTCTGAAACGATTCAATACACACGTTAATTTGTATTTCCCTTGAAAGTCGTATTGTTTATAATGTTTATGCTATATGCTGTGGTTTATATGTTATATGGCTTTATTATATGGCTCCTCACATAAGTAGAATGCTCCATTGATTTGAATGGTATTTCAAAACGTTCTACCGGTCATTATTTCTTGATAACGGACCTCTCAAACCAATAATGGCCGCTGCCCACGGCAACACAATTTGTGCTTGTAATTCAGATGTGTCAGATTACTCCGCAAGTAGTCCGGCCACTTCGTCAACGAGACGTCCAGTTTGATATAAATAAGTAGCTAGCCTAGCTATTACTAGCAAAACCACACTATATACAGTAGATCCATGCCACACATAGATCCATGGTGTAGCTCACTCAATAAAAACAAATAACAATCAATAAACACGTTTAAATTATAATCGGATAATACATTTTACATATACATTCTTAATACACATGCAAGGAGGTTTTCAGAATGATCTGTTAACGTTTTAGTGAGTCTATCAAAAAGGACTGGGGTGATGATCCAGGACATTCATGGACATTGGACTAATACCTGTTTTATATAATTTTTGTGTTTGAACTGTTTGATTCTCTAACCTGTATTGGCAATTACAACGGTTTTATTAAGTCCTCTCAGATGGCTACCGTGGTGATTTATGGCCATACACGAATAAATTGATTTGGAGTCTTCATGACAAAAATACTGTTTTAATGCGACAAAATGCGACCGCGGTGAACCCGGAAGTAAACATTAAGATTAATTAAACAAAAATTAGGATGCATTTGCAGAGGATCTGATTACACAAGTTGACAGCCAAAAAATGGTCAGGGGTTTCTCAACTGATTCAGACTAATGTTGGTGTTCTGAGTCCGAATATCACATGCATTTTGCTCTATCAGGTCAACTTTTTGAGATACAGCCATAGTGTTACGGATTACGTACGTCTACGTTATTATGAATTCTGCTTATCAAATTTGATGGAGTAAATAAAAACTGAATGACTTTGGATAGGTTGACTTTTATTTCTTGAGGAAAATGGAAAAAACATCAAGGGTTTCTCAGCTGATGATCCGCAGAAATTTGTTTTTTTACGCAAAATCGATTTAAAAAAATATTCCTGTAGCAAAAAATCCTGACCTGATTGAGCAAAACCAAAGTCATTTTCGGACTCAAAGCATCAAAATTAGTCTAATTCAGCTGGAAAACCCTGGACTATTTTCAAAAAATAGGTTTTTGTTACCCAGTGTTATCATATTAGTATATATGGGTCACTCACCCCCAATTCTTTGTTCAGTTTTTTAATGTAGTTCAAGAGAGATCCTTCAACGGGAACGTCCAGTTTAACCCATTAAGGTAAACATTCCTGTAAAACCTATGGCCGACTTTAGAGTCATCCTCTAAAATCTGAAATTTTCCTGAAATTCAATGTCTACTAAATGACTGATATCTCGGCCTCTGTAGCAGATAGAAACATAACTCCAATAGAATTTGAGAGCTGAGACTTGTGGCTTTCAAGAGTATTATCATAAACCTAGCGTAGAATAATAGAAAGTATACACAACTTCCACACAGGAAAGACACTAAAACAACCAAAAAATAATGTGAGACTAAGAAATATTTATCAACACAATAAACGCAATAAAGTGGCACTAACTGTGTGGAAAAAATATTTAAAAACCCTTTTAGCCCAAAAAGTCAAATAATGACTCACAGGACTCTAAGTAAGCAAAATAAAAAACACAACTGTTGTGGTTTGTTCTGTTTGATCTGTTCACAACATTTTACTTTTGTGCACAAATAAAATGCATTGTCAATGAGAGTAAAAATGTAGCTACCTCAGCTTTAATTCAGTGAGTTTTGGCTGCACTTCGAGAGGAGACACAGGGGAGACACGGGGGAGACAAACAGAAACCCACAAGTGCAACAAACTGGGGATGGTCCTGTCTGCGCGTCTATGGTCCGCGTTCGGTGCCATGTTACGGCTGTGCGTTCGCTGAGTTGTTGTCAAAGCGGCTGTCGGTACAAAGCGGCTCCCGAGGTCAGATCAGAGGATGTGAATCCCGTTCGAGTATGTAACGCAAACAACAGCCCGCAGTCACGCACTTCACAGTAATGTTATTTTCAGTGGGGAAAAGTTGGAATTTGAGGACCCGCAGAACATTCTCATCCCTGGTTTATCCTGATGCATTTTATTGGTCAAGAGAATTAATCAATAATAAAGAGAATAAGTAAAAAAAAAAAAAACAGACGTGTCCGCTTTCCCGGCCTAAAAAGGTAGAAGTGCGCAACAGGGCTCCCGGCCTGAAAGGTAGAAATGCGGGAATGCGTTCCCGGCCTCAATGGGTTAATAACTAGCTAGGCAAACTGTTACTTGCCTAGCCCAGCTAGTGTGGAAACTATTTTATTTGCAGTCATTAAATAAACCTTTCGGCATTCATATAAGTGGACTGAAGTTTATTTTGTGTGTTCAGTTGACAGATAGCAGTAAGCAGGATAATGTATATAATGCAGGTTATTATCGGAAAATAAGTACCTTCAGGGCGCAAACTGACCTGCATCAGGGTCCGGTTCGCCCTGACGGTACTTAAATTTCCCATAACAACCCGTGTTCTATACAATATTCCTTACTTAACATAAAATTGTATGTCAACTATTGTTCTAACAAGAAACATCTGATGTCAGATAATACATACATATATTAAGGTGTGAGAAGAGGATTCGGACTGAACTCAGCATACTTGAATATAATCTTGCATGCAGCTTGTGTTGGGGCTTGGACAGGGCAGAAATAGATGGATAATGATGTTCTTTAAGGACATGCAAAGGAGCCATGCACAGTGCACACTACAGCAGGCTGACGAGGGAGCACGGAGAGCGGGTACCTGGGGCGTTGCTGTGGGTCTGAGCTGACTGGGGCCCCTGATAGACCACCTCTGGAGCCGAGTCTGACAGACAGGACAGTTTTAGCTCAGAATATAGAACACAAGCAGGCTCATGCTATAGGCATGTAGGTGGGTAGGTTAGATAGTTAGCTTATTATGAGTGAAGTAAAAACAACCCTATATAGAGACAATATCAAATAAAACTTTGGGTCATGTGAAACGACGTCTGGCTGAGAACACCAACCTTTTCATGTGTATGCTCTAACATTACCCTGGATTTAGTCAAGATGTGTAAAAGAAGAAATGTCAAAGTAGACCTGATGATTTAGTAGAAGGTAAATTGTCATTATGTAAACCTTTATCATATATCATTTGAGGCCTGTATTTTAGTTGTACTCTTCCTCTTGCTGCTAGAAATCTTCTAGCACTCTCGATTGCCATGAAGTCATCAATGCCTTTATCTTGACTACTGCAAATCCCTCCTCTCCGGTCCAAATCAGAATGGTTCAAAGCGCACCGGCAGATATTTCACTGGTTTGAATGAGTTTCAAGAAGTGCAGAGCAGCCTTATATCCTCGAGCAGGACCCGTAAGCTGTTCAGAGATTGAGGCTCTTACAAAGCCTTTCTGGTCTGTGTGGTAGGTGTGCATGTGTGGTAGGTGTTCGTTTATGTGTGTGCACACTGACCTTTGCTGAGCTGTACGGGCATACTCTCAGACTTCAGCATGCGGTGGTGCTGGCTGTGGCTGTGTGCTGGCTGGGGGGCAGGTCCAGGGGGAGAGGGGGGCGTGGACACCTGCACCTCTGCGTTTATGGGTTGGAAGTGGCCCGCCCCTCCAGGCAGGGAAGGGCCAATGAGCTTCCGACCGAAGCTGAGCAGGCTGCTGGAAACTTTGTTGATGTTGAGAGGCGCTGGTTTAGCACTGGTCCTGGGGGAGACGAGAAGAACAAGCAGTTATACAAGCTTTTTAAACTATGAATACTTTATGTAATATTCTGTATGTTGTAACATTATCCCTCATCAAAAAGGGAAAATGAATGCATCATATTTGTCCTGTAAGGATCCATATTAAGAGTGGGACAAGATCTTAAAGATGAATAGTCTACAAGACTGTAGAAGGATGAGCCCCAATGAACTGCACATATTGTAAAATTGTATTTCCAACTTAGTATAAAATGAGTGATATTGGTTATATTAAAAAATAGTTTCATGAACATTATGTTTTTTTCTGTTAATAGTTGAGAGTTTGATGGCAAAAACCTTATTGATCTAACCCTAATTTCTGATAACTGCAAATCAGAAATTGAACACTCAGTGTTAAACCTAACGAATTAAGATTATTTTATTCGTACAGGGGGGAAATATCAGTGTCTGTTATGTGTCCAGTCCAGATTGGGTTTTGGATAAACACCCAGGTACTTGAAAGTGTCCACTCTCTTAGAATCCCGTTCCTTGATGAGTCCAAGGATGGCAGTCATCACAGCACTTCTGCAAGGACCTTACCTTTGTAGAGCAGGGGGGCCAGCGGGCAAAAGTTGGCCCCCTTGCACATTTTGGTAGGCCCACAGAACAACTTTCTACTCAATTGCATATTGACCTAAGCTTCTGTCTGAAGTCGCTTGGACTTGCCGAACAGTCCAGTACTTTACTGTTGTATGGGAATACACACCTCACTCATGGTTCACATCAACTAGCACTAAAATGTACGTGAAATTAAACACACTTATGAAAACAATTGGGTGCTAGGCACCTTTATGTTATTTTTTATTCAGCCTACTGTGATGTTTTTTGTGTGCAATTTTATGTTTTATCAATTTGAAAGGGCCCCTTTGAGCCTTTGCACTGGTAGAAAAGTGTAGGAAAGCCCATGCAAAGAAGTGTGCCCCTAGTGTTAGGTTTCTGTTTTGCATGTTGAAATACTTGCACTTTTGAGCACGTACACTATTGTCAGAGCAACACGCAGCCGCATGCCTTGAGCCTCCACATTAACATTGTTCCCTGTGTGTCAGTGTGCGTTAATGACCAGAAAGTAATGTTCGTGTTTATACTTAACTCGTGTTTTGTTAAGTCTCAGTTTATCATTTGTGATGTAATGTACCTACTTAAGGGGCAACAGTGGCTCAATTGGTAGAGCATTGCCCTTTAGGCCTGAAGGTGAGAGGGACTTAAAGATCTAAAATTAATTCCAGATACACTGGTCAGCCACTGAGACAGCTGCTGAAACAATTGGTTTGCATAAACAAAAAATTTCTGCACAAACTATCAGAAACCATCTCAGGGAAGCTCAGCAGCATGCTCATCATCCTCATCGGGGTCTTGACCTGACTCCAGCTTGTCGCCGTAACAGACTTGAGTGGGCAAATGCTCACATTCAATGGCGTCTGGCAAGTTGGAGAGGTCTCCTCTTCACAGATGAATCTCGGTTTGCATTGTTCAGCGCAGATGGCAGACAGAGTGTGTGGCGTCGTGTGGGTGAGCGCTTTGCTGATGTCAATGTTGTGGATCAAGTGGCCCATGGTGGTGGTGGGGTTATGGTATGGGCAGGCTTCTGTTATGGTCACAGGTGAACACAGGTGCATTTTATTGATTGTATTATGTTTATTTACTGTAACTTATGTTTTTATTTGTTACACTTTACTGTAACTGCATTTATTTGACAACCACTGCTGCTATTTGTGTTGCTATTTTTGAGGACCCTCCTGAAAACGAGATGATGCATCTCAAGAGGCTATTCCTCGTAATAAAGATATGTCAATTATTATTATTATTATTATTATTGTGAATGCACAGAGATACCATGATGAGATCCTGAGGGCCATTGTTGTGCCATACATCACATGTTTCAGCAAGATAATGCACAGCCCCATGTTGCAAGGATCTGTACACAATTCTTGGAAGCTGAAGATGTCCCAGTTTTTGCATGACCAGCATACTCACCGGACATGTCACCCATTGAGCACGTTTGGGATGTTCTTGACTGGCGTATACGACAACGTGCACCAGTTCCCACTATTATCCAGCAACTTCGCACAGCCATTGAAGAGGAATGGACCGACATTCCACAGGCCACAATTGACACTCTGATGAACTCTATGCGAAGAAGATGTGATGTAAGTAAGTAAGTAATCTTAATTTGTATACCGCCTTTCACAGACCAGAGTCACAAAGCGGTTTACAATTGTTTTTTTTGAGCACGAGCATGAAAAGGAATGGTGTGGGTTGGACTCCAGACTCCCTGGCTCTCACAATCTGGGATATGAGAACAATCCGACTGGCGTAATAGTGTTGAAGGCGCTCGAAGAAGAAAAATCCTCAGTGGTGCAAGGGCATGCTCCACTTCGATGCCAAGCTGGTAGCCGCAAAGCAGTGAGTCCATCGGTAAGTTCACCGTGTAGCAGATGTGGCCCAGGACCACCGGGTGGTATGTTAGAGCCATGGGTTCTTGGGCACTGGTACCACACACTAGGTCTTCCAGAGCAGTGGCACTGACTTCAGCCTGAGACTGGACATGCTCTAACCTTGCCTGCAAGCTGAATTCTCGCGGTATTTGTGAGTTCACAAACACTCGAGAATACATCTTGTCCCGCTCCCGCCAACCCTTTCCGAGTACAACATCTAGGTGTTCAAGCCAATCACGTGCCAGTCTGGGGGTTTAGGGCGGGATATCCGTGTTTGACGAAAGCAAGAAGTGCCGGGCCGAAGCAAAACAAACATGGCTACACAGGAGGACGGACACGTAGCTGAGGCTATCAAGTCAGTTTTAGCAGAATCTCCATTTTCTTTTTTGAAAGATGAACAGCGAGAGGCGCTTTGTGCACGCCCATGACGACATAATGTTACCGGGATTGGTTTAAGTCAAACCTTAGTAGGCGGGCACACAGCGTCACTTCACCCAATCAGCTTGAAGTATTCTGCTGCTTATCCCTCCTTTCCCCAAAAGGATTCTCCTGCAGAAGTCCCAGATTGATATTGTGGAGAACGCATTAGAGTTCTACACAATCATCAATCTGGCTCTTGCCAGGTTAGACATGCTCCATCGCTCCACAAAGTGCATCTGTGCTTGAGCGAAGTAGCCTGAAGCTGAAACCATCTGGACGAGCCGCTTTCCTTACTTTGATCTTCAACAGCTCACATCTCACCTCTGTGCACTTGTACGGTAATGGATGAGTCTAAGATAAGTTTATATTATCTTATCTTGTGACTTCTTCAGCACTTCCTTCATCCCAGGAAAAATTTAAAGCATCAGCATGCTCATAAACACTTTCGGAGGCAGATGCAATGCTTAAAACTAATTTGAAGATGACACTTTTGTTTAAAAGGCAGAAAAGGTCTAATCATATATACCGACAGGAGAGAAGAGGTGCCTGCTGTATGGTATGGTACCGTGTTTTGTTGATGAGATCGGCTCCTCTGCTGTTGTAGTACTCTAGGTTCTGTTGAAACTGGTAATTGACTGGCCGCGGGTGACTCTGCGCACACACACATACAAATATACATTAAAGGAGAACATGGCTTTTCCTAGCTTAATCCATGTAGTAGTTGCTGTCCTATCTTATTTATACATTTGGTTCCTGCATATTTGGGTCATTGCTCCTCCTGGCTTCTCCGATCACTATTTTTCTGACTGTCAGAAGGGTGCTGGATGGTGCCGTGGTGGTTAGTGTACAGTGAGGGGGGAGCAGTGGTGCTAACCTTTGGGTCTCGTAGGAACAGAGCCTTCTGCAGCAGAGAGTTAATGTCTCCGATGGAAGGGTAGTGCATGAGCAGGCCCAGACACGTCTGGAAGTTACTGGCAATCACTGAAACACACGCATTGATATTTTTTCTCATTACATATGAAAATTGTTCTGGTCTTCAAAGGCAAGATATTTATGCTTGACTCGTTGGCGAACTACACTACAAAAGAAGAAAGGTTACTTCTTAACTCTCTATAACTCATTTTTTGCCAGATGCTGAGATTAAAGTCAAAATATTTTGAGTTTAAAGTCAAATTATGAGTATAAATTCGAAGTCGCAATATCATGAGATAAATCTCAAAATAATATGGAGGATAATCTATAAATATTATGAGATTGTTCACTGTGCATAATGAAGACAATGGAGCGCCATCGTACAGTCAGACGCTGCGTCCAGAGTTCACTGAAGCTCCAATTGAACAGTGGTGTTATTTGTTATTAACTGTGAGCGTTATTAACATGTAAGCGCTCTATTGTGTCTCAGTCGCAGGTGAAGGGACGCATATTTATATGATGATTTCCTCCACCCTGTCCCACCTCCTTCACCTGCGGCTGGGACAGAGCACATACACACAGACCGGTTGCAGAATAGATTAAATCATTTGTATATATCCATCCATCCATTTTCTTCTGCTTCATCCGTTGCCGGGTCGCGAGGGCTTCAGTCTAAGCAGGGACGCCCAGACTTCCCTATCCACACAGACTTCCTCCAGGTCATCCGGGCGGACCCAAAGGCATTCCCAGAGAGACATAGTTCCTCCAGCGTGTCCTGGGTCTTCCCCGGAGCCTCCTCCAGGTGGGACTAGGGCTGTAACTAAAAACTATTTTAATAGTCGACTAGTCACCGACTATTGAAATGATTAGTCGACTAATCGGATAAAAACATTTTTTTCTTATATTTATCCTGAAGTTGTTATAATTAAGTGGCAAATGATAAAAAACACAAGAAAGATGGGTACTTCAATGAAAAATGCATCTTTAATTCTACTTTGCTGCTGGTTCATACAAAAAGTAAATAAAATGTCCTATCTAAGACCAATTTGGCACAGTGATTGGTCAGTACAGACAATTGCTTCTCAATTATTGTTTGCCAGGCCCCCCTTAGGTAGAGGAAAACATTTTGCGCCCTCCTCCTGACAACTTTTGAGCTAAAAATAAACCGCTCCCAGCCCAAAAAGTAAAATATTGACTAACATGGTTCTCTCTTAACTCTTTGACTGCCAGTGTATTTCAGAACAGGTACTCCCATATTGCCACCCGTTTCTGATGATTTTTATAGATTTTTCAAGACCCACAGAATATTGTATACTATGACTATCTGAAATCCAAAACCATATTCTGAAAGAATGGGCTGTCTACTTTCATCAGCAAAAATAATTTTGTCCCAGTCGAGGGAATAGAGGGAAGTTTTACTGAAATCACCAGAAAGCTGAGAAAAAAAGAGGCACAACATGTGCACCTAACTGTTTTCAAACCATTCAGAGAGAGATGCTGCCACATTAGATACAATAGACATCTGGGAACGTGAAAATAGCGGGACACGCAATTGACGTGTTAACACGTCAATGGCGGTCAATGAGTTAGTAATGCAAAAAAACATTTTTTTTTAAAACACAAGAAGTCTTGTTTTTTAATAGTTATATATTTTACGTTTGGGCACTACCAACTTGCATTATGGGTGCAAGGGAAATTTAGGTACCCCAGCTTTAATTAAGTGAGTTTTAGTTTCTGGGCTACAGGAGGAGACACGGAAGACACTACCCAAGGCTCACATAGTTCAGCTGTATTTCTCACAGCGCTGTATTTATCACGTCCACAGGGAGTACAAAGACCCGCACTTGTCCTGTCCGCGCTGGTCACATTATGGCTTCGCTTTGGCCGTGCGCTCGCAGCACTGTTTTCAAAGCAGCTTCACAGAACCGCTGTCATTCACTAAAAAGCAGCCACGCTCCGGGATCTTGGTCTCTCTCATGCTTTCTCTTCAAATGTTCATGCATCACCGAGGTGCTGCCGTGATACGCAATGTCTGCTTTGCAAACCTTGCAAGCAAACTTCTTATTTGCCGTATCCAGACTACAATGTTCCCAAACTTTAGAAGTTTTTCAACACTGAGCTGATGGACGCCGCCATTACTGTTTATCTTTCAGCTCGATATACGCTTTTGCGCATGTGCGACTCTCGGCAGAGATTGTTTTTGAGACGGGGGAGGCCTCACTCTATTGGAAAAACACATCTGGCGACAATAGTCGACAATGGAATTCGTTGTCGACTATTTCTATTATTGATTTTTGTTGACAACGTCGACTAATCGTTGCAGCCCTAGGTGGGACGTGCCCGGAACACCTCCTCAGGGAGGCGTCCAGGGGGCATCCGGAACAGATGCCCGAGCCACCTCAACTGGTTCCTCTCGACGTGAAGGAGCAGTGGCTCTACTCCGAGCTCCTCCCGTGTGACTGAGCTTCACACCCAGCCACTGCGCAGAGGAAGCTCGCTTCGACCGCTTGTATCCACAATCATGTCCTTTCGGTCATTACCCAAAGCTCATGACCATAGTTGAGGGAGGGAACGAAGACTGACCGGTAAAATCTGGAGCTTTGCCTTTCGGCTCAGCTCCCTCTTAACCACAACGGTCCAATACAACGAGCGCATCACTGCGCATGCTGCACCAATCCGCCTGTCAATCTCACGCTCCATCCTTCCCTCACTCATGAACAAGACCCCAAGATACTTGAACTCCTCCACTTGAGGAAGGACTGCTCCACCCACCTGGAGAGGGCAAGGCACCTTTTTCCGGTCGAGCACCATGGCCTCGGATTTGGAGGTGCTGATTCTCTTCCCAACCGCTTCACACTCGGCTGCAAACCGTCTCAGTGCATGTTGCAGGTCCTGGTTCGTTGGAGCCAACAGGACAACATCATCCGCAAACAGCAGAGATGAAATCCTGTGGACTCCGAACCGGACCCCTTCCGGCCCCTGGCTGCGCATAGAAATTCTGTCCATAAAGATAGTCAACAGAACCGGTGACAAAAGGCAGCCTTGGTGGAGGCCAACACGCACCGGGAACAGGTCTGACTTAAGGGCTCGACACACGGGAGGCGACAAAGAGCCTCCCGTGAGCGATCAGCGAAACTCAACGCTGTCGCTCAGATAACATGACAGACGGGGCGCGATGCGGCTTGACGACAGCGTCGAAAAGTTGAGCCGATTTCAACTTTCTGGGATCGCGTCGCTGACCTGCGCGTGCACGATACATGCACGAGCGGGAGGATTTCACACGCACGTTTTTCGCCCGTCGCTGAGCAGGAGGCTTGCTAGCGATTGACGCTATGTCGCGCATGTCCCATTGAAAATGAATGGAGGCGATGCGATGTCGCCTCTCGTGTGTCGAGCCCTTTACTGCCGGCGATGCGAACGCAGCTCTGGCTCCGGTCATACAGGGACCGGGCGGCCCTCAGCAGAGGACCCCGGACCCCGTACTCCCGGAGAACCCCCCGAAGAACACCCCGGGGAACACGGTCAAACGCCTTCTCCAGATCCAAAAAGTACATGTGGACTGGTTGGGCGAACGCCCATGAACCCTCTAGTATCCGATGGAGAGTATAGAGCTGGTCCAGTGTTCCGCAGCCGGGAAGAAAACCACACTGCTCCTTCTGAATCCGAGATTTGACGATCGGTCAAGTCTCCTCTCCAGTACCTTGGAGTAGACCTTACCGGGGAGGCTGAGGAGTGCGATCCCACGATATTTGGAACACACCCCCTTCTTGTAGAGAGGGACCACCACCGCCCCCGATCGCCACGCGATGTTGCAGAGACGTGTCAGCCAAGACAGTCCTACAACATCCAGAGACTTAGATAGTCAGGGCGGATCTCATCCACTCCCGGGGCCTTGCCACCAAGGAGGCTGGCAACCACTTTGGTGACCTCAGCCAGGGAGATGGAAGTATCCGCCTCAACATCCTCAGCCTATGCCTCCAGAACGGAGGACATGACGGGAGGATTGAGGAGAACCTCGAAGTATTCCTTCCACCGCCCGACAATATCCCCAGTCGAGGTCAGCAGCTCTCCACCCGCACCGTACACAGTGTTGGCAAAGCACTGCTTCCCCCTCCTGAGGCGCCGGACGGTTTGCCAGTATCTCTTTGTGGCCGACCGATAGTCATGCTCCAAGGACTCTCCAAACTCCTCCTAGTCCCGGGTTTTTGCCTCTGCAACAGCCCTGGCTGCAGCACGCTTGGCCTGCCGGTACTGGACAGCTGCCTCAGGAGTCCCACGAACCAACATGGTTCGATAGGACTCCTTCTTCAGCCTGACGGCATCCCTTACTGCCGGTGTCCACCACCGGGTTCAGGGTTGCCACCGGGACCAGCACCAGAGACATTGCAACCACAGCTACGAGTTGCCGCATCAACGATAGAGGTGGAGAACATGGTCCACTCAGACTCGATGTCCCTCTCCTCCCCCGGGATCTTTGAGAAGCTCTCTAGGAGGAGAGTTCAAAAGTCCGCTTGACAGGGGGCTCAGCGAGACGCTCACTACACGCTTGGGTCTGCCAGGTCTGACTGGCTTCCTCCCCTGCCAGTATGAGTGGGAAGCTAAGGGTACCTCACGATACGATACGCGATACAAAGCTCACAATAACGATTATGTCACAATATGACAATTATCGATATATTGGTCAGCAATATACCATATGTACAATATATGTATAAGTAATTATGAGTGTGTTCACAGTAAAGTGACAATTAAAGTATCTGGACTTTAAAAGATTATAACTTAAAAACTAAAATTACTTTCATAGATTGGAAAAAAAGATTTCAAACACAGACACATTGAAGAGATAGTGTGGAAAAAATCAAAAATAAAGATTGACAAAACAAAATTTAGCGACATTTTAAACGACCAAATCAGCCTCTGATTGGACCATTCTACTGTGACGCCAGTTACATAGAAAATAAAATGTCCTCAGTGTGAAAAAGTAGAAGATGAAATCCCACAAGATGTACATGGTTAACACAACATAAGTTAATCACTTGATATAAAAACGAATCGTGAAAAAATAAAAAATAATTAATTAAATTCCACCGCCCGACAATATCGCCCATAGGTCGTCACACCAGTTAGAGACTTGTGCCCCACCTGAGCCCAAGCTGTGTGTGGAGGGGAGGCAGACTACATCTAGCGGTATCCCTCAACCTCCCCCACGAGCTCGGGCTCCTCCCCCCCAGTGAGGTGACGTTCCACGTCCCAACAGCCAGATGCTGAGTGCGTGGACTGGGTCGTTGAGGTGTCCGCCTTGAACCGTACTCAATATACATGGGGTGGGAGTTTATAAGTTTTTTCTTCTTCCCACTCCATTTTCGAGCTCTTGGAGTGTGCTTATGAACAACAAGGCCTATGTGAATATGTAATAGGTGGTTTTATGTTTTATTTTTTTTTATTTTTCTTCAGGGCACAGGAGCATTAGTGAATCATGTTCTGTTCTTGTGCAATGTTGTGGGATGCTTGTTGTGTAAACAAATGTGTAATGTTATGGGCTCGAAAGAAATAAACAAATGAAAAAAAATGAAAAAAATGAAAAAAAATAAATTACCCCTGAAAAATGTATAACGGACGTGATGAGGACGGTCCTCTTTTCTCTAAAATTTAAACTTGAGAAAAATAAAAATCTGGTCTATTTTCACATTTGATTGGTTGACAATATGAAAGTATCACTTTGCATCTACTTTGTGTAAAAAAATAAAATCTCTGAATCAAATGTGGACATCTGAAAATACCTATCAAACTTCCACAAAGCCCATTCCGTCAAATCATCACGTCCGTTAAATAAAATAAACAGGGCCGCTATAGGAAACTTGTCTAATGTATAAAACAGTTATGTTCTAGCAACTTCTAATGAACAGAGGAGGTGCTTGGAAACACAAAAAAACATAAAATATCTTCTGATTATTAAAATCTAATTTTTGGCCTTTTGTCACACTTTTGTGCCCTTTAGTGTGAGAACAAGCCCATTATACATAAAATAGAAACATTTTAAGTGAAAAAATACACTTTATTTCATGATATATGGAATGGAGATGTGTATTGTAGCCATATATTAAGTATTGATACTAATAACAAAAAAACAAAACAAAAAAACTTTGCAAATGCATATTGATAATTGATCGCTGAAGAAAGTATCGCGATATATTGAAAAATGTATACATCGTCACACTCGATGGTGATGATCGGTTGACAGCTCCACCCCACCTGAGTGTTCGGGACACGCGGCCGAAGTTCAGATGATACAACAACAAAGTCGATCATCGACCTCCTGCCGAGGGTGTCCTGGTGCCACGTGCACTGGTGGACACCCTTGTGCATGAACATGGTTTTCGTGATGGACAAACTGTGACTAGCACAGAAGTCCAACAACTGAACACCCCTCGAGTTCAGATCAGGGGGACTGTTCTTCCCAATCACCCCTCTCCAAGTGTCACTGGCGTTTCCCACATGGGCGTTGAAGTCCCTCAGGAGAATAACTCCCAGGGAGTCCCAGGGAGTCCCAGGGAGTCCCAGGGACTCCAAGAAGGCCGGGTACTCTGCACTGCTGTTAGGCCCATAGGTCGTCACACCAGTTAGAGACTTGTGCCCCACCTGAGCCCAAGCTGTGTGTGGAGGGGAGGCAGACTACATCTAGCGGTATCCCTCAACCTCCCCCACGAGCTCGGGCTCCTCCCCCCCAGTGAGGTGACGTTCCACGTCCCAACAGCCAGATGCTGAGTGCGTGGACTGGGTCGTTGAGGTGTCCGCCTTGAACCGTACTCAAACTCCCCCACCACGTTAAGGTGACAGTCCAGGGGGGAGCATTTCTATATAATGTAAATGAAAAGACTATATCCATTGAGAGGTTCTATGACCTCTGAACGGTTTGTGCATTTGTGATTACATGTCATCTTTATTTTGACTATGACATTAAAGTGAAAAAATAGTGTCTGGCAAAAAATAAAAACAGGTGAGTCCTATGCTCCATTGTAATGACTAATAGCTATTTTTGCAGTGCAATTATTTTGACAAATTAGGACCCTGGATGGGCTTAAAATTGAGGACAGAAGGATGTGTAGTATAGTATGTGCAGTGGGTGTAGTGTGTGTAGTGTGTACAGTGTATACAGAGTGTGTAGTGTGCCCAAAGTGTGTATAGAGTGTGTGCAATGTGTACAGTGTGCATAGTTTGCGTAGTGTAAGGTGTGCACAGTGTGGGCAGTGTGTGTAGTGTCCAGTGCACGCAGGATGTACAGTGTGTGCAGCGTGGACAGTGTTTCATGAAATAGTCATACATGCGTCCCGAATGTAGAGCAGCATGGCCACGAAGATGTAGTCCACCAGGTCCAGGGTGATACTGTCAGCAAACAGGGCATCCCACACCACCAGCAGGTCTTGCAGAGGGAACTCCCGTCCAAAGAGGAGACGCACCCACCGGCTGAATGCGCGCACAGACCCAAACATACACACACACACACACACAAACAGACTTAAGTAAAGAGCCGTGACACACTGCGTCAATAAGCATGTAGTATAGTACACATTTGGATTTTTTTCAAGACCGACAAATGCAACCTTCCCAAAACGGGAAGAAGTACACCGCAGATCGTACTTAATATTTAGTTAGCCACCAATTGTGCAAGTCCTCCTACTTAAAAAGAAAAAAATACCTCACCAATGAGAAACAAAAAAAGAGAAAGCATAGAGATTCGTCATATGGGGCGTCAACTGTATGTGCGTCGCGGCACGCATGCACAAACTGTGCGGTAGAGACGCACGGACTGCACGGCGACACAGCGAGCAGACTGAAAAAACTTGTAAACAGCCAAAACAGGAGCTAAAACAAGATTGACAATGACGGAAACACTGTGCTTGTGAACATATTCCTGATGCCATATTTAGAAGTTTGCTAAACATTCATCTTGCTCCGCCTTCAATTTCTTGATATGTGGGAGCTGAACCAGAATGGATTGAAGAGCTTCCTTTATTCTCACATTCGCCGCCATTGCCAAACTACAACCAGCTCATTTGGCGCAAACTCTTGAGGTCATCGACACCTACACCCACCTCCCCAGCTCGCTGAATGGTCGAAGGGAATACAACCGCGGTAACCGCAGCCACTAAGATCAAACCCAGACGTACTGTACATGCAGGGAAATAATAATTGACCGGATTGCACGGATGGCTAAGGCCAGGCTATTTTTACGCAGCATTATAACATTCTTTTCTGGTGTATTATTTTGCTTTGAAACACATGCTGTAAAATGTGTTTGTCCACAACAAACTCAAAGTCAAAATGATGACAGGTGCACTTAAATGCATCTGCCCATTTTGGTTTTTGTGGTTACATGAGGCAAACATCATAGCACACTATGATGCCGATTGCAGCGGCAGAAACACAGTCACTCACATGCCATAGATCTGGGGGGCAATCTCCAGCCGGTTCAGGTGCATGTGTAGCTCCACGTCATGCTTCTTCACCAGCTGGTCCTGAATGCGGTTTACTTTGGTCACTATGGCAACAGAGGGCCCAGAGTCTTGGGGCCGAGCAAATGGTATACTGGTCAACATCTCCTCCTTCCCCTGGAGATGCAGAAAGAACATGGTCAGAGAGTGCATCATGCTCCAGTGTATTTTGATTGTGTTTATTTCAATAGTGCAATACGTTGTTTTTAAGCATAATTTACGTCTCAACCTCAATGGGAAGAAGCATAAGAGACTGGATATCAGGGAGGGATAGAGCTCAGTCAGCAACTACCCCTGACTGAGGCCCTTTATGAAAAGCTATGTTTGTTGTACAGGCCTACAACAAACCCAAAACGTCACTAAAAATAATTAGGCTATTGATAAATGAGAGTGACAGTGAGCCTATATTCATAGCATTTTAATTTATATTCCTAATCATAAGTTTTCTGTGTGTGGCTACCCCAAATACTTAATTGTTTTTTTTATTTCCCATACCTTTAAAGTAAAAAACAAAAGTAGGCCTATGTGTAGTCTACTGTGCAGTTGCAACAGTAAGACAACAAACCTGTGTTTTGCTATTTAAGCTAACCTTATATACGTTTACAACTGAGCTCAGGGATGGCCAAATAAACACAAAAACATTAAGATGCCTACCCACTGATTTTCAGCCACTTTGAAAAACCTGTTTTCATCCCATCACAGTTTCTTTCTCAATTTTTTGTTTTCGGTGTTGCTGCTTTTTTCTGTTTCTCCATCTCACGACAGGTAAATAATGATTTTGCTGTTGTTGCATGTAATGGCAGCCTGTCAAAGCAGGGGACGCTGTTAACTCTATGGGGTGCTGCTGTCAACCAAGAGGGTGTGATGGAGCGCTCTCCATTGCGCAGAAAAGCTTATAATTACTATTAGTTATTTATTTTCTTCTAGTATTTTGGCGTCCCCTGTCCTTTGGCACCCCTATGCAAGGCATACAGTGAAAATCCTCTTTTTGCGCCACTGAGCTCAGTAATCAGCTCACAGGAGCCTGTGGGCGAACTACTACCGTCTTTGGCTCTATCCCCTTTCACTTGTCCATCTAGGTAGGATATACAGACTATGCACATACAGTGCCTTGCGAAAGTATTCGGCCCCCTAGAACTTTTCAACATTTCGCCAAATTTCAGTCTTCAAACATAAAGATATAAAATTTTAAATTTGTCATGAATCAACAACAAGTGGGACACAATCGTGAAGTGGAATGACATTTGTTGGATAATTTAAACTTTTTTAACAAATAAAAAACTGTTATACACTGTTATGCAATATTATTCGGCCCCTTTACTTTCAGTGCAGCAAACTCACTCCAGAAGTTCAGTGAGGATCTTTGAATGATCCAATGTTGTCCTAAATGACTGATGATGATAAATAGAATGCGCCTGTGTGTAATAAAGTCTCCGTATAAATGCACCTGCTCTTTGATAGTCTCAGGGTTCTGTTTAAAGCGCAGAGAGAACCATGAAGACAAAGGAACACACCAGGCAGGTCCGAGATACTGTTGTGGAGAAGTTTAAAGCCGGATTTGGATACAAAAAGATTTCCCAACCTTTAAATATCTCAAGGAGCACTGTGCAAGCAATTATATTGAAATGGAAGGAGTATCAGACCACTGGAAATCTACCAAGACCCGGCCGTCCCTCCAAACTTTCATCTCAAATAAGGAGAAGATTGATCAGAGATGCAGCCAAGAGGCCCATGATCACTCTGGATGAACTGCAGATAACTACAGCTGAGGCGGGGATGGTGTGTTCAGGGGGATGAGCTGTGTTGCTTTTACGCCAAACATATCGTTTTGCATTGTGGCCAAAAAGTTTGATTTTGGTTTCATCTGACCAGAGCACCTTCTTCCACATGTTTGGTGTGTCTCCCAGGTGGCTTGTGGCAAACTTTAAACGAGACTTTTTATGGATATCTTTGAGAAATGGCCACTCTTCCATAAAGGCCAGATTTGTGCAGTGCACGACTGATTGTTGTCCTATGGACAGACTCTCCCACCTCAGCTGTAGTTATCTGCAGTTCATCCAGAGTGATCATGGGCCTCTTGGCTGCATCTCTGATCAGTCTTCTCCTTGTTTGAGATGAAAGTTTGGAGGGACGGCCGGGTCTTGGTAGATTTGCAGTGGTCTGATACTTCCTTCCATTTCAATATAACTGCTTGCACAGTGCTCCTTGAGATGTTTGAAGCTTGGGAAATCTTTTTGTATCCAAATCCGGCTTTAAATTTCTCCACAACAGTATCTCGGACCTGCCTGGTGTGTTCCTTTGTCTTCATGGTTCTCTCTGCGCTTTAAACAGAACCCTGAGACTATCAAAGAGCAGGTGCATTTATACGGAGACTTGATTACACACAGATGCATTCTATTTATCATCATCAGTCATTTAGGACAACATTGGATCATTCAAAGATCCTCACTGAACTTCTGAAGTGAGTTTGCTGCACTGAAAGTAAAGGGGCCGAATAATATTGCACGCCCCACTTTTCAGTTTTTTATTTGTTAAAAAAGTTTAAAGCATCCAATACATTTCGTTCCACTTCACGATTGTGTCCCACTTGTTGTTGATTCATGACAAAAAATTAAAATTTTATATCTTTATGTTTGAAGACTGAAATGTGGCGAAATGTTGAAAGGTTCAAGGGGGCCGAATACTTTCGCAAGGCACTGTATACAGCTGAAGACAGCTTCAAACCACAAGAGAGCACTGTAATGCTTAGAGTTGTAACAATGCTCAAGCAAACATATTGTGTCTAGTGTCTAGTGAAAACATTTTTTTATGTTCACTTAAACTTCAAGTCAATGTTTACTTAACTCACGCATTTCCTTCCTTATATTTGATCAGTTTGCCAGTGTGAGGGTCAGACAAGGGGACAGACTGGTAAAGGAATAGTACAGTGGAACATGAACAAAACCCAACTATCTTACCCATTTTATGATTTTATAATTTAAATTAAATTATTGGCTGATCATATGCTTCTGTAATTGTGACAAAACAAATAATTTAAGTACAAAAGGTCAAACTCGGCGCCATTTCATGAACAACCCATCAGTGTGCTGACCTTTCGGACTTGTCTTTCGAAGCTGGAAAACCAAGGCTCTGCGGTCTCCATGAGTTGGGAAAAAAGGGAGCTGTGGAGACACCACATATGTCACTATATACAGTATGTATCATGGAAATTAGGGATGCACCAATACCACTTTTTACTCCTTGCCGATACAGAGTACCGTGATTGTTTTAACGGTCAACAATAAGAGCCACTGTCATATTCAACTCAAATAAATCGTACAAATAAATAGCTGCCATTTCAATGCACTGAGAGCCAACAAGGGCTGGTCATCAAGAGCGATATACTCTGCAAAAAGTCAGGTGATTTTTATTGTTTGTAGATTGTAAGTAAGTAAGTAAGTAATCTTTATTTATATACCGCCTTTTCACTGCAGATCTGAGTCTCAAAGCGGTTTACAATTGTTAATTTTGGGCATTTGTCCTCTCACTCCACACAGAGATGGGAGCGGGGTTGCCTGTACAGGAGGCGCATGCCTGAACTATTGTACATATTTTTAGTGGTAGGGGAAACCGGAGTACCCGGAGGAAACCTACGCAGACACGGGGAGAACATGCAAACTCCACTCAGAAAGGCCCTGGTCCGACCGGGATTCGAACCCAGGACCTTCTTGCTGAGAGGCGAGAGTGCTATCCACTCAGCCACCGTGCCGCCACACATTGTCGCTTGACATCTTTTCTCGCTTCTCCGAAGTTTGTAGTAGAGTTGGTTGTTTTTGTTCTCCAGTGGAAAAGGTTTGGAAATTATTGTTCCAATTTGACCCTGACAGGTTTATGATAAAGTGAGACTATTGGCCATTTTCTGTATGAACCACATATTTCAAAGAGAAATGGAGTTATACTGTATTATACTTTTAGATTGTTTAATATTACAGCTTTCTCTAAACTTCAGGAGTAAATATTCACACTGAACCAAATTACAAATTGCAAATTAAACTAATTTCTAAACAACTGCAATAGATACATCCATCCATTCATATTTTTTCTCCTTTACCTGTTGCCAGGACAGGCTGCAGTCTGCCCTGGCAACCTCGGGAAATATTAGCTGACCTAGTACCTCCAGTGTCCTGGGTCTCCTGCGCCCTCTTGCCAGTGGGAAATGTGTGGAACAGCTCTCCAGAAAGACTCCCCGGAGGTATACAAAACCATCTATCACCAATGTTCCCTCTAATTTTTCAGGGGTCTGAACAAAACATCAAACTCCCTAAGCGGCCCCTTGGCGAATTGTGAGCAGTAATTCTAGTTCTATTCAAATTCAGTGGTAACTGAATGGCCATTTTTTTCTTAAAAGGCACTTATTACATGCAATAGGTGGAATAACATTTTGTGATGTGCAGAGTTGACTTACTAGGCATCATGTTCCAGGAAATCTGGGTTTAATAAGCACTTCATGTCCTCACTGTAGGCAGAAAACACACATAAACTCAGGATACAAGGGATAGGGCAGTGGAATGCACTGCTCACGCTGAGGCTGAGGCTGGACTGACCTGGGCTGGGCCGTTTCGCTGGCGTGCTGGAATGCCTGGTGGTCACAGTGAAGTACAAACACTATGGGGGCCAGCAGCTCATGCATGCCCTACACAGCACACCCACAAGAGAGAAAAGCACACCCTCACAGTCAGTGACACAACAGGCAGTTACGGGCTTAGTGAGGGAATAATCATGATCAACAAATGTAAAAGTGAACATAATATTATGTCTTATTATGGGTTTCTGTAACAGCTATATGAATGATAAAAATGAATGACTTTCCACATTGTTACAGTGCCATTATTGTTTTTTTCAGTGGACAGCAGCTCATTACATGAGCGATGATTGATCACACAGCTCTCTCAGGAGGTGTCAAGTTTTTTAAGGTGATTATGATCAAATGATCATTGGAATACGACCTCCAGTTCTCCTTCTTAAGGAGAGAGACCACCATCCTGGGCTGTCACTCCAACGTCACTCATGGAGTGACATTGACAGTGACACTTAACCAGAATCTCCGATAGTCCTGCTCCATGGACCCTGGCAGTCCGGCTCCATAGATTCTACAAACTCCTCCCGTTACTATTTCACTAGAATGCTCTTTCTGATCACCAGGTCTCACATGGGTGTTGAAGTCCCCTAAGTGAAAAACGGAGTCCCCAGTTGACACACTGTCCAGTACCCCTCCGAGGGACTTCAAGATGGAGTCAGCCCTTCTTGGAAAGGCCTGGACAACAGTGAGAGACTTGTCCCCCACCCAAAGGCGAAAGGATCCAACTCATTCATTGACCAGGGAGAAGTAGAGGGTACAACCCCTTTTGAGGAATTGAATTCCAGAGCCCAAACTGAGTATGGAGGGGGGGCCCCTTCCCACCCAATGAGGTCAGGTTGTGTTCCAGCTCTCAGTCACCAGGTGCTCGCACACAACCCCCAACTCCAGACTACTCCAAGAGGCTACTCCACCTCTGCTGCTCTGACCCATCCTACTCCACCAAGAGGCTACTCCATCTCTGTTGCTGTGACCTGAAGGGCTGTTGCTGATTATTACTATTGTTATCTTTTTAGAATGATACATTTTAATTTTAATTTTTGCTGCTACTGGAGACCTGAATTTCTCCTACGGGGATCAATGAAGTATCTATATATCCATCTATCTATCTACTCCAGGCCTGGCTCCAGGGTGGGGCCTCGGCTGAACCATACTGGGTGTCGTCATTGACCTTGTTTGTAATCTACTTAAAGTGGGTTTTGGTCCGCGCTTCATCTGACCTCTTTGCCATGGGAGACCCTATGAGGTTTTTTTTTAACGCCCCAGATAACATAACTCCTATGATCATCCAAGCATAAAAATTCCCCACCATTGTAAGGTGGCAATCCAATCAGAATAATATCCAATGTAGTTTCAGAAAAGGTCATAAACAAGCCTTCTGCAATAGTCTTAATTTTACAGTTCTGGATGGATCATCTCTCGGGCAAGCAGAGACAATTAAATAGCTGGGTGTTGTTTGACCTTTCATTTAAAACCCATTTGCAGCCAAAAGCCAATAAATTACCTAAGGCGTGTATCACTCTATGAAACGTTTTCAAGGAAGGAAGCCAGAGCATGTTTAGCCAATCTGAAAGCTTGTGGTCTGTAACGTGTCGCCAATTTGAAAAAGGAAATGCAAGAAGTATGAAGGGGAATCCAAAACAGCCATCATCGCGAAGCAGAAAGACCTTGCTCAAGTCGTCTCCACTCCTAACGCAACTTTATGAGTTGCAATCTATGGCCACTGCGATAAAGAAGCTTGTGGAGGAAAGAGTGCCGTGTTTTTTATAAGTAAGGCTGTAATCAATATCATTTTACTAATTGATGAGTTGGCTGATTGTTGGTTAGATCCCAAAAGGACAATGAATATGGGATATGTTCTACATTTGACCAAAACAAAGCTCAACAGATGCCCCTGGAGAATCAACTTAATTTTGAAATCATATAATTTATTATATCAGTCAAAAAATCTCTTCTTAGTATGTTTAAGTCTATGTTCAAAACCTTAACCAGAAAGCAGACAGTGCTCTTTCTGAGTGCGTACCTGTTTATATAGCAGCTGTTCATTCTCCCTGGCGTAGCAGAACAGGATATCTGTTAATTTGGTTCGAAGGTCCTCGTCTTGGAAGTATCGGATCTCTGGAAACCTGTGCTTCAAAAACACAATATAAACAGAGCTAACAGTGTCCTTGAGGAACCATCAGTAAACACTCACGTTCTCAGCACATCTTGTTTAATCATAGCCTTCAGCTCTTTATCCTGGAAGAATTTGTTCCACAAGCTCTGGACACACATAATTATAATAGTTATAATAATGTATAATAACATAGTTATAATAACGTTATAGGCCTAGAAATACTGTTATAGCCCATCCGTCCATAAACAGCAGCAGGAGACATCAACTTTGGAAAATCCCACACTGGAGGACATCCGTCATGATGTACATAAATAAAACTCAAAGAATGGGATCCTTTGGTCATAATTATTTAATATTTAAAGTAATGTATTGAGAATGAAATAAAAGAAGAGTCCTCATTCCATGAGGTCAGAAAAACATAAGATTCTCAGAATCAAATTAAGAAATCTGTTCCCATTTCTGTGAAAAGTTCCAGCTGGGTCTGGATGATCCTCAGTTGTGTGTGACCCCCACATGTCTATATACCCTCACTACAAGGCCTGGGCATACTACTGATGAGACCTGATGAACTCTTGAGGGACATTCTATGCACCTGAACCAGAGCATCAGTCAGCTCCAGGACATTAAACACTCTTCTACTGTTCACGCCTCCAAAAATAAAATTATTTATTTTAGCAGTTTACAATATTGCGGCACAAGGATTCACTGATACCACACTGGTATCAAATATCAGTGTGATGCATGAAGCTGAACATGCATTCTGAAATGCATTTATTTCAGACGTCAACCCAGCTTTAACTTCTACTCAGAGATGTCTTGACTTACAGGGAATAAACACAATTGAACTCACTTGGTAAGCAGTTAGCTGTAATTTGAGGAAATCAAACATCGCATCATGTCTGATCCATGTGTATCCAGAGTCAGAATAATCAATTTCCTTCAAGTGTTCAAACTAAGTACTTATTCTTTACATTAAGTTGTAACTATGAGCATCTACTGGACAGTGGCCACTTCAGATGTCTGATGGATAGTGGACATGATGGGAGCACACTCACCCCTTCATCCTGGGACAGGGGGTTGTTGACCACCAGGTCCTGCTGACCCGCAGCTTTACGAGGGTTAGTGATGTGCTGTGAACGGAAAAACATAAGTACAGACCATTAGAGCCTTTCATACTTAAAGCAGGGGTACCTGATTTTCTCATTTACAGAAAATCTTGTAAAAGTCAAGTGTTGGGAACAAATATCTCATTAGAAATTATTTGTGAGATAACTTGAAAGAAAGAGCCCTGAGAGTCACTATTGACTCTATGGGATGAGTGAGGGGGGTCCTTTCTTTGTCACATATTCAGATCAGGGTTTTTATAAAAGTGACCGAGGCCAAACAAACATGCATCTAGTTCCTGATTTTAGTCAGAAAGATTTGAGGTCGTTCTTGTGGTTTAAAGAACGACATTAACTCATTGACTTCCAGCTGTTTTTGATGATTTCACAGATTTTTCCAGACCCACAGAAAATTGTGTGCTATGACTATGTGAAATATGAAAAACGCTTCTAAAAGACTGGGCTACTCTACTTTTAGCAGCAAAAAGAAGTTTGTTTCTAGCTTGTTTCATTCTCCTGTAATCCCAGTCGAACAGAGGGGAAGTTTGACAGAAACCACCAGTCTCAGACAAAAAGCTGAGAAAATGAGGTGTTTGTGAAAACAGACACACCATTCAGTAAAGTGAATTCAACATTATTTAGTTTAACTTTAGTGTCTCCTCATACATGTCTAGTATCTTACATGCTAGAAAAAGGTAGCAAAAACAACTAATGAGAAAGTGTTTTTGATGCAAAATAATACGTTTTATGGCACACACATCCACAAAGTGTTGCTTGAATATTTTAAAAAGTACTCGTTCAAAAACCTCTACATTTACATATTAAAAGTAGAGCCCTCGACAAACAATGCCAGAAAGAATAGCTAGTATACATTTATTAGGTGGCGCTATACTTATGTCAATAACAGTAAGTCACAGAATAACAAAATTACAACAATAAATACAATAAATGACAATAAACCAAAGTTAACAGGCTATTTACCTATAGTATAAGTGCAATAGAACACTGTTGTGTGTGTTTGTGTGCACATGTATGTGCATTTGTGCATGCGTGTGTTTATGTTTTTTATTACGTCTACAAAGTATCATTGCGTTTAGTGCAGTGAGCTGTGACGATATTAACGATAGGGACCCTTCTGTATATCTTTGACCATTGGACACTGTATTATTAACGGCTTATTAGCCGAGGGCGAGGTCTGTATGGAGAAATATCAGACCGCGGCCTTTTGGTACAGACCGAGCCGTGGCTGTGCAAAAAGGCCAAGGTCTCATATTTCTCCATACAGACCGAGCAAGCGAGGTTAATAAATGTTTTATTATATGACTATTTTTAATTTATGCAAATATCGATCTCCGACTTGGTTTTCCTAATTGTGTTTTTAGCTTTCTGGTCTGCAACGAAGTTGTCAATCTCATCTAGTCTGTTAGTTAGTTATTTTTTCTTCATTATTTTCTGTAATTTTTCCTCTGGCTCGTCAAACTTGTCCGGATAATACAATTCACTGGAGAATGCTCCCAGTTGTCGCCCATTATTTCTTTTTTACCGAGGAAACTCAGGAAAGATATCAATTGTGATACGCGCTGCGGACTGATTGTCATGGTAACGGTCTGAGATGGGAAAATATCAGACCGGTAATCAGCCAATCAGAGCGCGCATACAGTCCAAGTCATATAATTATGTACTATTGTATGCAGGATTTGTCCAGGACTCCCTTGAAAAAGAGGTTCCTAATCTCAATGGGACTTTCCTGGTTAAATAAAAATTTACAGTAAGTATTTATTTTTTTACATAATTAAAATAGTCTCTCCCCTTGGCATTACTACACCAATGAAAAGGGGAATTTGAATTAATTTCGTCCAATCAGGAAGCTGCATGGGTGGTTCTAACCAAAAAATAACTGACATTTACTTAACATCATTGTAAACATGTGATAGTTACCAGACCCCAGAGGAAACCGGGATTGGAACCCAGGCCCATCAACACCCATTATTGTTGATGGGGCTAAATGGTTAATGGGCCTATCTACGGGTCTGTTTTTTCCAAAGAGGGGACGTTGATGAAGAGAAGACAGAGGTTGATCATACATCCTTTAAACCCTGCTGGCCTGTACCAGCTGATGAATACAGGGGGTCTGCTCAGGGTCCAATACCGTGTCTTTAATCTTCTCATACTGGGCCCGCAGCTCTTTGGTTTTGTTGATCCACTGACTTTTGTCTTCTGGAAGTGCCTCTAGGTACAGCTGCAAACAGAAACCAGAGTGGGACACACAACATATCATTTATGTTCTCTCACACCTGTAACTCCTTTCAACTTTGCATGATTCAAAAGGTAACAACAGTTTTATGTGGTCTTTGGCATCACTGATTGTTTTAAAAGGTACAGTCAGTAGTTAATACTCCCATCTACGGTTGAGATCATATATTGCAGTCAATTAATAAGTATTACAGCTACGGTAGTCGTAGCTGTAAGAACCGCAAAGCACGGAGGCTGAAATGTAAACAAAATTCCCTCTGCCGCACATGTGTGGAGGAATGAGGTGTCTGTGGTAGCTTTACCATGAGACCAGAGGAGGAATGGATTTAAGTTAAAACCACTATGACCAGACGAGCCAGGGCCCGTGCTGCAGATTCTGCCTCGTTCTGATTAGAGTCAGTGTGAAGAAAGTTACGTTTTCTGCCTTTCGGGTGTGTTTGGTTTGTGATGTTGACACGTTTGTTGTTAAGACGCCAGTTTCTAGATTTTTACATAATACTATATTTTATAGGGTACGGTGGAAGCAAGGATATTAGTTGCACCTGTGAAACAAAAACGTGATTCTCCATTTTGTCACTTATCAACCATTGTATTTCAAGATTGCGTCTTCCACCGCTCAAGCATTATCATAGGTCAAATTCTAAGCCTATGACAACAATTCAAAATTATGGTGGAGGTGAATATTCTTGGAAAGGTCACATTTGTGATTGGTTAACATGCTTTTTCATTTGGAGCAACTGTAAAAACTACTGATTGTATATTCAACCATAAACGATTCCATACAAATATGTTAGAGGTATTCAAAACAACAATCATAATATTACATTTTTTTGTTTTGCAAACGTTCTACAAATTGAAAGCTGAAAGTAAATGGTTTTCCCCAGGCAGTAGCAGCGCCAGGTTTGCAATTATAGGTAGCCCTGCAGATTAGTGAGTAGGCCTAATTCGCTCGCAAACTACAAGGGGTATTTGGAGTGGGGGTTGAAAGAATATGGTTCAAACGCAGCACCACAGATTTGGCGCCGCTGGCCCTGGTCCTGAAGGAGAATTAAACGTAGACTAAATATTGCACATAGCTTATTATTATTATTTTATTTGAATATTACAATATCAACAGCATGAACAAGTAACAGTCTATAATCATTTACAAGGCTTGACCTTTGATTGAAGACTGCGAGTATTTCCTTGTAATCTATACTCTCTGTTAATTCTCTTTCAAAAGACAAAAGGGACAGAGACTTGAGTCTTTCTGTCAGCATCGTCGCCCTGGTGCTCGTCTTTATTCTGTTGACGGTGGAAAAGAGTCTCTCCACTGTAAATGTGGTCATTGGCAAAGTGAGCAGCGCTCGCAGGAGACTATTCATGACAGGGAATATGTCACGTGGACACAAATTAAGCACTTCAATGAGCATGGGAAACTTAACTCAGCATCATTCATTTGTCTTTGAATATGCTGTACATGGGATGGACCGTCTCTATGTCTCCAACTGTGTCCGTGCGTGGCAGGCAGGCAGGCAGCTGTTGCCTTCATGAAGCCGTATGGGTCAGGCTTGAAGCGAATATTCAACTCCGTTATTTGTCTATCCAATATGTCGTTCCAAAGTCTATGAAGATCTGAGATTGTCTGCACAGCGAAGGACTTGCCCAAAGTAGACCCAAATTATGACTTATGATGAATAAAAAAGGCTTATGACTTTGAAACAAATTTGAGTAGGCTAATACAAAAAACTGGTAGGACCCGGCCTAGCCTGGCCTATCCCTGGCTGTCTCCAGGTCTGTCAGTTTGTTTGCATGCATCTCTTGCTACTGCTGAGATTATCTTTTTTCAGAGAGCGATGAATACCTCTTTAGATGCTTCAGGCTCGATCTTTCAATTATTTAGAGCCAGCACATCGGTCCAATCCTGTCCCCCCCTCCAGTCCATTGAGTCTCTAGACGGAATTTTGCCATGTTACTTTCTGTTTCATATTGAAGGTCGAACCATTTCTTTTTTACCTCCTTTATTGTGCACATGAATCTATTATAATATCTGGATAGGGTATTAGTAGCTTGGAGCTGAAGGACTCTTGTAGGGTTTCCAACTTGAGAACAGAATAATGAAGGACACCATTTGGGGTGATCGGGTCCATCTACACAGGAATCATGGAATTTCATATTCACAGTTTTTAGAATGTAATTTATTGACTACATATAAATAAAACAAATCCGTAGTCAAACATGATATTTAAAAAACTGGTGCAACTCTTTGGCTGGTTAAGGACTTAATACATACTTATTATTCATAACAAATATTAAAACCGTACTGATAATATCTGAGAATTTGGTGACCACAGCACTTTTACAAGAAAAGCTATTGAAGATTAATATTCATATTTAATCATAAAAAATATTAAAAAGAGACTAATGCTGAAAACAAAGGTTGTAGTAGTTAGATATGGTCATTATTTATGTATGTTACAGTAAAGACCATCTACTGTAAAAGCAATTATAAAAAGAAAAACATTCATTTAAAACATACAAACCCCCCACAAATATTGAATTCAAAGTTTATAGCAGTTCGATATGGTCATTATTTATAGTGTCTGAGAGTTTTGTGCATGTACATAGCATCACCTAAAAGCTAATGTTCGTTTACAAAGCTGATTTTGCCATTTGTTGACACTTCCTGAGTGCTTTTTTTGGCGCTTGCAGTGCATTGGATTCAATGGATTTCTCTGCATCAAAACACTGCATTGGATTTGAAAATCAATATAGAGGTGATCATTTTGGCACTATTACCTTAGTTTAACCAACGTAGGTTTACTGAGCTATTGACCGCGGAAGTCCGAATCTGGGAATACGACGCCAACTTTACCGAACATCTACCATGATGATGCTGTGGGTGTGGCCCACACTGGCACTTGTCAACATTAAGCCCATGGATGTGATCAAGCCCAAGCCCCCCCTTTGACACTGATTGGCCGAAAGGGAGACGCTTAACCTGTATGTGTGTGTGTGTGTGTATTGTGCGTGCGATATGCAGTGAGTGAGTTAGCATTTAAGGTGACTCTGAAAATACCGGACAAAAGCCGTCCTGTATTGGATTCAATACAGGACGCACATAGTTTTTCTAAATCACGGGACAATTCCGTATTTTAGGAGACGGTTGGCAACCCTAAACCTATGTGCTAGACCCAATGTTCCCTATAGAACTCAATATAAACTAAAACAGCTTGACCTCAGCTGACAGAGAACTTACAGCTTTCATAAGGGTCGGATTTTGTGGGGATTTTATTGTCCCTTGTCGTCCTGAACTTTTTGGTTTTCTTTAAATCCACACTTAAGTGCAACAAACTCTGCTCATTTTCTTCCCGCTCTGATTAGCAGCTCTGATTGGTCAGCCCCTCTGTGGATGTGCATGAGAGACACCCACATGTATTTGGCGCAAAGCATCATGGTAGCTCGTCCACTGCGCATAACCAGGAGGACCAGAGGATGGCCAAATATGGGCAAGTTCTGCTAATCTTTCGGCGCCCATGGTGGTACATGGTTTGCAGGGCTTGATTGTGCGTCCCTCTCCTGACACTGCATCCACTGCACGCCAACCTGCCTCTCAGGCCTCCTTCTTATTTGTTTTGTTGCAACTTGCACTAAGGCTGCAATATATGATTTTCTTCCTCCTAGTGTTCTCCTGCAGTAGAATTTCCAGTTCTGAACCGCAAACGTTTTTTTTTTCTTTTTACCTGCGTTCCAACGGATTTACTCTTTGCTTTAGGCATGTTGACGTTCCCTCTGAGTGGTGTCTGCACACGGCCCTGCAGTCCCTTTTATGGGCATCAATGGGCGGTGACCTATGCTAATTGTCTATGCTAATGACTACCTGGCAAGCACGCTCAATTTACAAGGAGATGGTATTCATCAATCGAGGGGTGTCAAACTCATTTTGGTACGGGGCTAAATACAACCTAATTTAATCTTAACTGGGCCAGACCAGAAGATTCTCTACAAAAATACCCAAAAAGTGTACTATTTGTGCACATAAACAAATTTATTTAAAACTTCCTTTAAAACACTGTTTAATACTCACTCAGTTTCGACTGTAAATCACTTACTGTTACTAACTTAAATGTAACAGTGAGTTTTTCATAGAGCAAATAATTTAAGTATTTACAATATTGCATTGTAAATGACATTTCACAATATTTGTATTAATATTTGTGTATTAGCTTCGAGTGCAGCTTGGTGGAGCCACTATAGACGCACTCGACTTGCTGCTGAGCTAAGCGTTGCGTTGCAGATTTTATTTTATTTTTCATTATTATTATCATTTTACAAAATGAGACGCGGGCCGTATTAAATCTCTTGGCGGGACGGATTCGGCCTGCGGGGCTTGAAATTGACACATATGATCTAAAAGAGCAGCTGCAAACAATTCAGCGGCGCTAAGAACGTGTTGATGAATCAGACGTAAGGTCTTCTAAGAAATCTGCCAAGAAATCTTAAGAACGACTGTAATGTAAGAGGATTCTTAAAAAGATATTGGTGAATGAGGCCCAATGCCTCACTAAAAGTCAATTTTATAGAGCAAGGAAGGAGGTATCAAAACAATTTGGATGCAGCCAATGAATAACGACAGTTTCACACCAACGCTCTGGAGTGGCAAATATGCCATGTGTGAATGTGTGCGTGCGTCAGCTGCTTAAACGGGACTTAAACTCTGGCTTAACAAGTGGTTAAATAGGGACATTTGTCTGCAGTGATGTGGTTTCTTATTCTGTAATTTCTGATCGCCATGCTACTAAGTATAAAGTACATGTTGCAGATAAGTCTTTTTTTCATCCACGCTGTGACAGATCTACTGATCCCACAGGCATTACAACTCCATCCATCCATCCATTTTCTACCCTTTAATCCATTTCTGGGTCAGGGGGGTGGCAGTCAGAGATGCCACCCAAGTCTCATAGCACCAGCCCCTCACTGATCCTCTGCAGGTGGTGAGTCCACAGGAAGACGGCTGCTCTCTGAGTGTGAGCATAGCCTTGATCTTTCAGGCTTTCAGGCTTTCAGGCATTACAACTGTTACGAGAAAACATTGCACACTACAATCTAGAAAAACTTTTTGAAAACTCTATCACAATATAAGTGATTCATACCGGTAGATATCAATAATTATTGATTGTGAATACATTTGCTTTGTCGGCTAACACGTTAGCAGCGCTTGTCCCCAGTCACGGGGGAATGAGAGCTCAGGCTGGAGGCATATGTTCACAAGCACAGTGTCCCCCATTGCCAGTAATAACTTTAATCCTGGTTTAGTCCTGGTTTAGCTCCTGTTTTGGCTGTTCTCGAATATCTCGTGTGCCAGTGACGGCTCTGTGCAGCTCTCTGATGGCCCCATGTGCTTCCAGAGGCAAAAGTTAATCTCTTGCTTTTGCAGCATGCATCGAGTAGCTGTGCCCACTGCCTCTGCCGTGCCGCACATGCTATCCCTCGCACGGACGTGCATAACTATTGACACAACATTGGAACACAACGCAATCTATAGATCCATAGATTCCTGCACAACGCTTGGAGTGGTTGTTTTTTTTTTGTATTTCCCAGAATATTTTGCAGTTCATGCTTGGCCGTGATAGGTCGAGAAGCCTCTGCCTACGTCCCCTAGAACAGTGTTTTTCAACCACTGTGCCGCGGCACACTAGTGTGCCGTATGATATTGTCTGGTGTGCCGTGAGAAATTCGTCTACTTTGTCTAAAAATAACTGCATTCGCTGTTGACGAGCGGTGACTTGTTTTGAACTGTGGAGTAACCATGTAATACTTTTTCAAATCAGTAGATGGCAGCAGATAGCTAAGTACTTTGAAACTGAAAAATTGGATGCGACCACTGGCTGTAACAGGTCAGCATTTTGGCGAGAAAGGTAAAATTGGATGCGACCAACAAATGTGGGAGGGAGCGAGACAAGAGCTTTGTGGCGAGTGAGAAGTGAAAGTGATAGAGACGTTTTTGAAAATGAATTATGCCGTTTCTGAACAGGATTAACATCCTCCGCTCTGCCCCGGGGCAGCTGTGGCCGCGTTGTAGTGGTTTAACTATGAAATGTACAATTTTTGTACAACAGCTCTCGCGAACGCACTTCTGAACTGGGTACCGAGCGCAGACCATAGTCGAGTGGACAGAACCACAGACATGCGGACCGGACAGAACCATGGACTCGCGTTCAGGACCTCCCGTGTCCCTCATCCAAAACTCCTGAATTTAAAGCTCGGATACCTAAATTTTTCCCATGCACTAACAATGCATGTTATTTGTGTGAGTTATTATTTGACTATTTGGGCAGAGAGTGGATTTTCTTAGTTTTTTTCCACACAGTTAGTGCCACTTTATTACCAAACTCTTGTTAATTGTATCGAGAAATGTTAAATAAAGCTTAATGTCAAGGCCTGGACTTAAGCATTTTGATGAGAATAACTGTATATTGTGAATATAGGCTCCAGAGTATACTGTATACATTATAAGATAAGATAAGATATACTTTATATATCACACAGAGTATGTACAGTATATATTTTTACATTAGTACTGTATACATTTTTACATTTTCTCCTGGAGGTGTGCCGCAAGATTTTTTCAGTGAAAAAAGTGTGCCTTGGCTCAAAAAAGGTTGAAAAACAATGCCCTAGAATGTGGTGCGCTTCCTGTGTTTTCTTCCAATTTTTTCTAACGAAGTGAGGTTAAACTATTGAACATTCTATCAAACTCGTGTCTATCGCAGTGTCTATCGCAATATCCATCCATCCATCCATTTTCTTCCGCTTCATCCGTTGCCAACTTTTGGCAATATACAGTACCAAAAGTTTGGACACACTTTCTCATTCAATGAGTTTCCTTTCTTTTCATGACTGTTGACTGTAGATTCACACCCAGGCTGTGTAAGGGCTGTTTGACCAATAAAGAGAGTGATGGGGGGCTGGGCCAGATAACCTGGCCTCGACAGTCACCGGACCTGAACCCAATCCAGATGGTTTTGGGGTTGGACCACAGAGTGAAGGCAAAAAGGAGAAAGTATCGCGATATATCGAAAAATCGATATATCGTCACACCCCTAGCCCTAATACAATCCCTTCTCAAATTACACCTTCCCAAACCCCTGGAGTCTGGAGCCAGCTTAAGTGAATCATATTTGTTTAAAACTGTATTGTTATCAAAATGTAATACATCCAAATATGTAAGAGCTCATCCGGGCTCTTGGTTAGTAAGTTGGACTTCCCCCTCCCTGCATGTTTAGCACACAGCTGTGATCACCTTCCAGCATACACTCCTAAAGCGACTGCTCCTCAGGTGCCCGCTCAAGCCAGCTCGCCGGATTCGTGCCAGGTAATTACTGTTGACGAACAAGTCGTCCCATTCCCTCCTGCACAGAGCACACAAGCAGAGTCAACACAGCAGCTGCAGCCCCCTCTGTCTCAGGGAAGTGGATTAAAAAGAATTCTGGTCTTGAATTATGTTGGAGTGCTTTAAGAAACCTTGGACCTTACCTGTAGGACTGGAATGTGGACTGTGAGTGCGAGCTACTATCCAGACTGCCTCCTCCTGAAAAAGAACATCCCAGGTGAGACCAGCAGGGGGCAACGCACACCCTATCTAACATACGCAGACAACACACAAAAAAATTAGCACAATTACCTAGGTGCCAAACATGATCTACTCTGGCTATTCTAGGCAGTGCTTGTGTATCCAGTTAGGCCTCATCCCCTGGTCTAATGATCTAAGGTAGGCTTTGATTTGGTGGTTAAGTGTTTACAGTGCCAGGGCCGTGTGAATGCGAGGCTGGGAGCTGTCTGTCAGCATTAGCACAGAGAGACAAGTCCACAGGGACAAGTGGCGTGAATATTCATCGTCTCACTGTATTGGTGCGCCGCTTCAGCACAACCAAAAACTGCTTCAATAACAAACATGAGGCTTTATTCCTCTTCATTTTGAACCTTGAATATGATTTTGACAGGATGTACTTTGCAATGTGTTAATCATATTTGAACATACAGGTGGAAAATAAGAATATTGTTCAAAAGTTCATATAATTCAACTCAGGAAATCAACATGTAATTACCTATGTAAATATGTTGACCTTTTACTTTTTTAATGTTACATTTAAAGTGACATATGCCAAGCCTTTGTGTGTTATAATTTTGATGATTTTAGTCGTTTTTCTAAATATTCAAACTTTATTTTAGAAGCTGTATTACCACCATAACAATGGCTTGATATACATCACTGTGCATGTAATGAGTCATAAATTGGTATACGATAGGCTGGTGGTGGGCAAACCGTTGGATTTGGTTTCTATCATCAACATTCTGGGAAATGCAAAAACAACAACTGCACCATGCACCATGGATCTATAAATTGTTTTTCAATGCTGTGTCAATAGTTATGCACGTCCGTGCGAGGAATAGCATGTGAGGCGGGAGAGGCAGTAGACAGAGACCCAATGCATTCGGCGAAAGAAAGAGATTAACTTTTTCCTCTAGAAGGCTCTCTGATAGCCGCACGGAGCCGTCATGGGGACACAAGACACTCGAAAACAGCCAAACCAGGAGCTAAACCAGGACTAAACCAGGATTAAACCAGGACTAACAATGGGGGAGACTGCTTGTGAACATATGCCTCCAGCCTCATTCCCTCGTAACTGTAAACAAGGCTGCTAACGTGTGTTAGCCGACACCAAATGTATTTAGCGGTCTGTGTGAAGCAGTGCACGCACGGCTGCGGTTCTTGTTAAAGTTGTGTAAGGGGTCAAAGCCTGTCTCCTGCTCGTCCGTCTGCAGCGGGTGAGGCGTCTCGAAGTTTGGGTGCTGCATGGTGTGCTGACCACTGCACCTGAGGAGACACACAGGTCCAGCATTACTCTGTGTGTGTGGGTGGGCGTGCGTGCGTGTGTGCGTCTGCGTATATATCCGTCAGTGCATCCGTGAGTTCATTCATGCATGTGTCTGTGTGTGCAACTTACAGGGACAGCCTCGTGACTCAAGCCAAGGTGCAGATAAAGAGCTGCTTCTGTGTGGGAAACAAGCAAAACAGTTAACTCAGAATAACTACGCGCCAAACACAAACAAGCTCTGTGCTTTTGCATGAGATGATTTAGTTTGATTCATTATCAACTGAGATGATTTAGCCCAAATTTTCAAAATCCTCACTCCATAATTCAATATATTATCAAAAATCATGATAATTCAAAATTAAAAAAATACATAAGAGATTTATAGCATCTTGAACAATAACAATAACCACGAAAACAATCTTAAAAATTCTTGGGAAAAGGACTTGGGAAACAAAGTAAGAGTCGAGGAGTGGATTCAGGGGTTGACTAATATTTATACCAACACAAAATCCCCATATTGGCAAGAATACGCCTGGAAGATTCTCACTAGAATCTTCAGAACACCTTGAGCGATTAGCAAGTTTTGGAGAGGTTGCGGAATAGACAATCCAGATTTCGTCCATATCTTCTATGCATGTCCATACTTGGAGGTATATTGGGCCCCTTTTCAGATCTGATCAAAGAAATATGTGGTAAAGAAATAACAATAGAAATAACAATAGAAATTTAACCCAAATCAACCCAATTCAACCCAAGAATTTAAAAAAAGAACATTCATTTTGGATGTTTGGCATTGAAGCAAATATTAAGACTTTGGAAAAGTTCTGAACCACCTCGCTTTGAAAAATGTATGGATTCAATGAAACATTTCTACAGAAATTAAGAAAGGTTGTACAAAATAAAAGGTAAAAGGGACATTTTCAAATCGAGGTGGTCAGCCTTTACCCAAATTATAACGTAGACAGAGGGAAGTTTAATTTGTTTATCTTTTCCTTTTTTTAAATGATATCTTATTCATTTATTTGGTCTGGTTTACTTTGACGTGTGTACGTATGTGTGTGTGTGCAAGTGTAGGTGTGTGTAAATATGCTGAAATGAGTTGAATTAAATTAGAATAAGGGGGGGAAGGTAATATGTATGCATGTGTATGGATAAGTGAGTGTGTGTGTGCGCGTGTGTGTGTGCGCGTGTGCGTATGTGTATAAATGTGTGTATGTATATATGTGTATAGTTGTGTATGTGTGTATGTATATACTGTATGTGTATATGTGTGAATGTATATATGTGTATATGTGTGTATGTATATATGTGTACATGTGTGTATTTATTGATTTATTTATTTCCTCGAACCTGTTTTATGTACCTTTCTTTTCTCCATGTGGCACTGGCTGTAGATTTGTTGACAGAATTTCTGTATGTGAATTAGAGATGGCCCTGGCCCTGTTAGTTAATTTTATTATTGAGATCATTATTGTTTGTATATTTTATTTGCTTGTTTCGTTTAGCACAATGGGTGGGAAAACAGGGGTTTTTGGAGCAGTAAAGTATTAAACAAATAAGGAAGATGAAACATCTACTGAATGCAGCAGCCTGAGTCCTGACTAGAACTAGGAAGTATGATCACATTAGTCCAGTCCTCAGGTCTCTGCACTGGCTTCCTGTGGCTCGGAGAATAGACTGGTACACAAAGCAGAGCTGTTTTTAAGTCCCCCCATGGCCTCCCACCAAAGTACATTAGATTGTTTACTTTTGAATGCGCTGGAAACGGCAGCAAGTCCTAAGTAGCTCTGAAACAGTAGTTGTTATTTTTCTTGCTTTTTTTGGCTTCAGTACAGTGTTCATGGTTTTGCACTGGTCCAGACCAGAGCGAGGAGGATTCGTGTTCCGAAACAATCGGATCAGGCAAAAATCCACAGGAGGAAGGCTGACTTTTTGGAAAATGCTAATGAAGCATTCAGCATTTTACTTTGGACTAGAGCAGAGAAAATGGTCCGAACCAAGCGGCTCCATCATCTCTGCTGCTGTGACCTCTCCTGCTCCACCCAGCAGCTACTCCACCTCTGGGTTGCTGTGACCCAGAGGTTACATCTCCTCTGCTGCTGTGACCTGTCCTGCTCCACCCAGAGGCTACTCCATCTCTGCTGCTGTGCCCTGAAGGGCTGTTGCTTATTATTACTATTGTTGGATTATTTAGAATGATCCATTTTATTTTGTATTTTTGCCGCTACAGGACACCAGAATTTCTCATACGGGGATCATTAAAGTATCTATCTATCAATCAACTTGGACTCTGAGGAGCACAGGGACGGGACTCCTACTAGCGCCCAGAGTCAGAAATAAACATGGGGAGGCTGCATTTCAGATTCATGCAGCTAAAATCTGGAACGATCTTCCTGAAAGTGTGAGACAGGCCTCTTCTCTGACAATGTTTGAATCCAGGCTAAAACAGTTCTGTTTAGCTGTGCATACAACTGACGGGTTTTATATATTTTTTATCCTTCTTTTTGATGTACAGTGAACATTTATGTTATCTTGATTTGTTCAGCACTTTGAGTTGCCTTGTGTATGAATTGTGCCATGCAAGTCTGTCTGTCTGCCTTGAAGTCTCTCAGGAGGAGGGTAGCCCCAACTACTACTAATACTTAATCCCTAACACTAAATAAAAAGAGGCCAGTTGACATTGTGTGAAGCAGCAGAGGTAGTTAAGCCAGATGTCGAGGGCAGATCACACAAAAACAACCTCTATGTTTATGGTATGCACAAAATTACAGAAAGGTTCACCAGTTGCTTGAAACCATCCATTCACCGTGTCTCTTAAGCCAATTTCTACCCAAATAACATGCATGGCTAATGACTCCCCCCTGGGCTGCCACCTTAACGTGGTGGGGGAGTTTGAGTACTCGGATGATCCTGGGAGCTATGCTGTCTGGGGCTTCATGCCCCTGGTAGGGCCTCCCATGGCAGACAGGTCTCAGGTGACGAGTCAGACAAAGAGCAGTCCAGAAGACACCATGGACAACACTAATATGAAAACAGTGACGTCGCCCGGCATGGCGCAGCCGGGGCCCCACCCTGGAGCCAGGCCTGGGGTCGGGGCCCGTATGCGAGCGCCTGGTGGCCGGGCCTTAGCCCAAGGGGCCCGGCCGGGCTCAGCCCGAAGGGATGACGTGGGCAGTCCCTCCTGTGGGCCCACCACCTGCAGAGGGGTCCGTGGTGAAGCGGTGCTGAGAGGACTGGGCGGCAGTCGAAGGCGGAGACCTCGGCGACCCAGTCCGCACACACAACATCTGGCTCTTGGGACGTGGAACGTCACCTCACTGGGGGGGAAGGAGCCCGAGCTCGTGGGGGAGGTTGAGCGATACCGACTAGAGATAGTCGGCCTCACCTCCACACACAGCTTGGGCTCTGGAACCCAACTCCTTGAGAGGGGTTGGACGCTCCACTTTTCTGGAGTTTCCCGCGGGGAGAGGCGGCAAGCTGGGGTGGCCATTCTCATTGCCCCCCATCTCAGCCGCCACGTGTTGGAGTTCTCCCCGGTGAATGAGAGGGTCGCGTCCCTCCGCCTTCGGGTGGGGGACAAGTCTCTCACTGTTGTGACGGCCTACGGGCCTAACAGCAGTGCAGAGTACCCGGCCTTCTTGGAGTCCTTGGGAGGGGTACTGGACGGTGCACCGCCCGGGGACTCCGTTATTCTCCTGGGGGACTTCAACGCCCATGTGGGAAACGCCAGTGACACTTGGAGAGGGGTGATCGGGAAGAACGGCCCCCCTGATCTGAACCCGAGCGGTGCCCAGTTGTTGGACTTCTGTGCCAGTCACGGTTTGTCCATCACGAGCACCATGTTCGAGCACAAGGGTGTCCACCAGTGCACGTGGCACCAGGACACCCTAGGCCGGAGGTCGATGATCGACTTTGTTGTCGTATCATCTGACCTTCGACCGCGTGTCTCGGACACTCGGGTAAAGAGAGGGGCGGAGCTGTCAACCGATCATCACCTGGTCGTGAGTTGGATCCGCTGGCAGGGGAAGAAGCCGGTCAGACCTGGCAGACCCAAGCGTATAGTGAGGGTCTGCTGGGAACGTCTCGCTGAGCCCCCTGTCAGACGGACTTTCAACTCACACCTCCGGGAGAGTTTCTCCCAGGTCCCGGCGGAGGAGGGGGACATGGAGTCCGAGTGGACCATGTTCTCTGCCTCAATCGCCGATGCGGCGGCTCGTAGCTGTGGTCGCAAGGTCTCTGGTGCTGGTCCCGGCGGCAACCCCCGAACCCGGTGGTGGACACCGGCAGTAAGGGATGCTGTCAGGCTGAAGAAGGAGTCCTATCGAGCCATGATGGTTCGGGGGACTCCTGAGGCAGCTGTCCAGTACCGGCAGGCCAAGCGTGCCGCGGCCCGGGCTGTTGCAGAGGCAAAAACCCGGGACTGGGAGGAGTTCGGAGAGTCCATGGAGCATGACTATCGGTCGGCCTCGAAGAGATTCTGGCAAACCATCCGGCGCCTCAGGAGGGGGAAGCAGTTCTTTGCCAACACCATGTACGGCGCGGGTGGAGAGCTGCTGACCTCGACTGGGGATATTGTCGGGCGGTGGAAGGAATACTTTGAGGTTCTCCTCAATCCCCCCGTCACGTCCTCTGTTACAGAGGCAGAGGCTGAGGATGTTGGGGCGGGTACATCCATCTCCCTGGCTGAGGTCACCAAGGTGGTTGGTAGCCTCCATGGTGGCAAGGCTCCGGGTGTGGATGAGATTCGCCCTGATTATCTAAAGTCTCTGGATGTTGTAGGACTGTCTTGGCTGACACGTCTCTGCAACATCGCGTAGCGATCGGGGGCAGTGCCAATGGAGTGGCAGACCGGGGTGGTGGTCCCTCTCTACAAGAAGGGGGACCGGAGGGTGTGTTCCAATTATCGTGGGATCACACTCCTCAGCCTCCCCGGTAAGGTCTACTCCAAGGTACTGGAGAGGAGGTTACGGCCGATGGTCGAATCTCGGATCCAGGAGGAGCAGTGTGGTTTTCGTCCCGGTCGCGGAACACTGGACCAGCTCTATACTCTCCATCGGATACTCGAGGGTTCATGGGAGTTCGCCCAACCTGTCCACATGTGCTTTGTGGATTTGGAGAAGGCGTTCGACTGTGTTCCCCGGGGTGTCCTTTGGGGGGTTCTCCGGGAGTACGGGGTCGGAGGTCCTCTGCTGAGGGCCATCCGATCCCTGTATGACCAGAGCCAGAGCTGTGTTCGCATTGCCGGCAGTAAGTCAGACCTGTTCCCGGTGAATGTTGGCCTCCGACAGGGCTGCCCTTTGTCACCGGTTCTGTTCACTGTATTTATGGACAGAATATCTAGGCGCAGCCAGGGGTCGGCGGGGGTCCGGTTCGGAGACCACAGGATTTCATCTCTGCTGTTTGCGGACGATGTTGTCCTGTTGGCTCCAACGAACCAGGACCTGCAGCATGCACTGGGACGGTTTGCAGCCGAGTGTGAAGCGGCTGGGATGAGAATCAGCACCTCCAAATCCGAGGCCATGGTGCTCGACCGGAAAAAGGTGCCTTGCCCTCTGCAGGTGGGTGGAGAGGTCCTTCCTCAAGTGGAGGAGTTCAAGTATCTCGGGGTCTTGTTCACGAGTGAGGGAAGAATGGAGCGTGAGATTGACAGGCGGATCGGTGCAGCGTGCGCAGTTATGCGGTCGCTGTATCGGACCGTTGTGGTGAAGAGGGAGCTGAGCCGAAAGGCAAAGCTCTCGATTTACCGGTCAATCTTCGTTCCCTGCCTCACCTATGGTCATGAGCTTTGGGTAATGACCGAAAGAACGAGATCGCGGATACAAGCGGTCGAAATGAGCTTCCTCCGCAGAGTGGCTGGGCGCTCCCTTAGAGATAGGGTGAGGAGCTCAGTCACACGGGAGGAGCTCGGAGTAGAACCGCTGCTTCTCCACGTCGAGAGGAACCAGTTGAGGTGGCTCGGGCATCTGTTCCGGATGCCTCCTGGACGCCTCCCTGGGGAGGTGTTCCGGGCACGTCCCACCGGGAGGAGGCCCCGCGGAAGACCCAGGACACGCTGGAGGGACTATGTCTCTCAGCTGGCCTGGGAACGCCTTGGGGTCCCCCCGGACGAGCTGGAGGAAGTGTGTGTGGATAGGGAAGTCTGGGCGTCTCTGCTTAGACTGCTGCCCCCGCGACCCGGCAACGGATAAAGCGGAAGAAAATGGATGGATGGATGGATGGATGGCTAATGACTTACAAAATCCCATGAATTTTAACTGGCACATTGCTTACTTCATCACTATTGAGACCACGCCCCCTACTGGCACTGCGCATGCTTCCATCACGTATTATGTACAGAAGATTTCTAAAAGACTAGACCACACTTGTGAGCCCAAGACGATTGAACGCACACATTTGAACCGTGGACTAAACAAAGTGAAGCAAGATATGGAGATATGAGAAAGTAAACTCGTTTTAAATTGTGGAATTAAAATCCTAAATAGTTAGATATAAGTTAACTTGCCTCCAATGTGCCGTTCCAGACAGACTACTCATGCTAATGAAAATGACGCTATTAGCAGAAAATGAGGGCATTAATTAAAATGTGATACCCTCCATAATGATCCGTGGCTATATTATTAGTAATTGTGAAGTATGTCTGTGCGCTTCAAACAATGGGGACTAAAGCTGTGGATTGTACAAATTTATCACCCATATATTTGCGTAGAAGAGCGTCTAACCACTCCACTGTGCTGGAAATACAGCCTATTGTTTAGAGATGATTCCAATGCTTATGAATATGTTTATCCTCATGTATTCCACAGCAGGGCTATTTGTTTATTAATGAACAACTATAATAGCTGCATCTCTTAAAGCCATTAACCGTGAGAGGCGTAGATTGTCATAAATCAGCTCTGTGTACATGGACAAAACGGGAATTATTCTGGATGCATAATGTATGGTCTTATTTTCATTGCGAGCATGTGTTTTGCTCAGAGGCTAATGGTGCTTTCCACACTTAGCACAGTGGAGTAAGACTCTTATTAGCGCATAAATATTCACAAGAAATGGCCATGGACAGCATTACAAAAAACGAAATTGAAAAGAAATAATATGGAAGTTTCAGTGTCATTTTAAAGAACAAATACACTGGCATACTTTGATTGGATATAAACCGTGTGCCTTTTTTGCACTTTTCCCGTTGTCATTCACTGTTGTTTTTTGTTAGACGCATGTTTGAGTCATTTATTCTGTCCCTTGCTCTCCCCATCGGCCTGTGCTAGTTTATATAAGTCTGTGCTGGTCTGTGACGGTTTACAACGGTGTATACTGGTCTGTGATGGTCTATGATGATCCACGTGGACCTATGATGGTCCATGAGGGCCTATGTTGGTCCATGCCCTGTATAAAGCCACTTTACTGCTGTCACCTTACTGCACTACTTAATGTACTTTGTATATTGTGTGCACCGAGTGCACTAGTATATAGTAATAATCGTACTCATTTTCCTTTTTAGCAATTTCTATTTTAGAAAATGCTATACTTCAGAAATGCTTTATCATGCCTTGTTCTTCTCTACTTTTGACTTGTTTGCACCGAGAGCCAAACCAATTTCCTAGTCTGTGACTTCCTGTTACTTACTTGGCAATAAAAATGATTCTGATTCTTATTCTGATGAGGGCCTATGAAGGTCCATGACGGCCTATGATGGTTCATGAGGGCCTTTAATGATCCATGCTGACTTCACAAGACTTATCTTAAAACAACTACAGGTCTGTTTTGAATGAGGGAACAAGGTTGTAATGTGCTAAAAACTCCAAATAGTCTTAATTTCAGGTCGAGCGGTGTTTTCTCTGGTCATAAAAAGCAAATGAACATGTGCATTATTCACCATGCAGCACCTGGAGACGCCTCAATAATTCAGCACATGGAATTATCACATGACTAATGAAAGCCATCAATAAATCAGGCTCCAATAACACTGCGTCCATCTGTTGTGCTCTCACTCTGGCTTATTAGCGTCTATGAGAGCCCCGGGCCACTGCACATAGTCAGGTCTACAGTATTAGAGGAGGTTTGGGGGAAAAAAACACATACTAGGCTCACACAGAGTATATTTACACTCTCGTCAGTGTCATTATCAAATCGTTTTGGTCCCATCGCTATGAGCTCAAAGAGAGGTTCAAGCTTTAAAAACGCAGAGTACTTACTTATCTTTGACCCTGATATTAAGGGTCAAAGAAGGTCTCTCCCGTTACCCACCCCTCATCACAAAACACTCCATTCTGTGTCTATTCCAACCACTCCCCTCAGGCAGGAGAATGCGGTCCATCAGGACTAGAACCTCCCGCCACAAGAACAGTTTCTTCCCCTCTCTGCTGTTGGACTCTTGAACACTTCTTAACCTGTCCCCCCGCCCTTTATAAAGTCACTTTACTGCCCATCATACGTCACTTTACTTCACTGTACTGCTGTCACCTTACATTGCGTGCACCATGTGCACATGTATATTGTAAATAGTAACTGTAACTCTATTTTAAATTTAAATGTATTCCTTAGAAGTGTTTTTTATTCTTTATTTTTATTATCTCTTTCTGACTGTTGCACTGAGCCAAAGCAATTTCCAAGTCTGTGACCTCCTGTTACTTACATGGCAATAAAAATGATTCTGATTCTGATTCTGATTCTGAAGGTCATAGTCAGAGCTGGGGAGATCTTCTTAAACTTGCCATATTAAACAGTGAGAGCACAGTGAGGGAGAGCGCAGGGAGAATGCAGGGAGAGCACATGGAGAACGCAGGGAGAGCGCAGGGAGAGCGCAGGGAGAGCGCAGGGAGAGCGCAGGGAGAGCGCAGGGAGAGCGCAGGGAGAGCGCAGGGAGAGCGCAGGGAGAGCGCAGGGAGAGCGCAGGGAGAGCGCAGGGAGAGCGCAGGGAGAGTGCCGGGAGAGCACTATTGGAGTGCAGTGGGACACAGATGATAGTGCAGTTAGAGCACTGTGATAGTATAATGGGAGTGCAGTGGAAGTGTCGCACAGTGACAGTGCAGTGGGAGTGCAGTGGGAGAGCAGTAAAACAAACTCACTTGTTTGTGCTGGATTTGATAACCGGCCCCGAAGCCTTCACAGAGAGCCAATCACATGCTCCCACAGAAAGGGGAGATACAAGGGAGACAGGGGGACAACAGCACCTAGGGCCTGGAACGACACACACAATCAGCACCTGCAAAGAAAACACATGCACACATGTTATGAATTCATTGTAAAAAGCACACAGCATTTGAATTGAATCCAGTCCAAATCAAAGTGGTAATTTGTGAGAACCATAATCTCCTATGCAGAAAATTCCTGTAGTAAAACCAGGCATGTTAGACTGCAAAGATGGCAACCACTTTTTTATAGCCGTGATAAGGCAGCTAACCGCTTCCACCGGTCAAAACAGTACAGATGCAGTGCCTAAGAGATGTTCAATACAACAGGTAAGATGCGTGCATGCGGCACACTGCTGCTCATTTAAGCGGCGCTCATGTGCTTCGAAACCACTCCCCCCTTCCACTCGCCTCTCCACCAAACCAAACATCCAGCATTTTCTTTCCTTTGTCACAACAGGGAGAGTGGGTAGCAAACGTGAAATTGGCATTTTCTGTCATTTTAGGTTGTGATGACTCAGGTGCACGCACATGCAAGAATCAGGAAGAGGGAGAAGGGGGGTAAATGTGAATCCCATTGGTTTATTTTTATCGGTCCGCTCCAAAATATTGTTTATTATTTTCATACTATAGGCATCTGGTCAATTCCATTACTATTTCAAAACACATAACTTGACTACTTTTAGGGTTTAGGGACGTTTTTCCACAATAGATAAAAGAATGCGTCTGGAAAAAAATCCCTGACTGCATCTTTAAGACATTTTCATATTTCCTCGAGCCACTTTTTAGAGTCATATGCATACATTTTTTTAAAAACTAGCATTTTACAAACGTATCTAGACTGTGGTGCGAGCAGCTGTGACATGAGCCGTACAAAGGCCCTATCACCCTTCTCTTAAAGTTTTGGATCTGCTCACATTGACTAGCCAGCACAGGTTTTTTTTTTTAAAGTAGTCCATAATCATATAACTTTCTCTGGTCCTATATCCAACACCCTATCACAACTACGCAGACAACATTCAGATCTAGGTCTCACTGACTGCAGGGGAACATGGACCAGCGGATTCACTCCTTCACTGCATCCAACTTATCAGTGAGTCGATGCAGGACAACTTTCTCCAGCTAAACACAGACACAGCTGAAATGATTGTCTTTGGACGCTAGAATTACAGAGAGTGATATGTCACCACCAGTCCCTCTTCGCCTTCAAATCAGGTCTGAAATCTAGGCCTAGTAATGGACTCAAGACTTAAATTTTAATAGCCACATCAGCAGCTTTTTATTGTCTGAAATACATTGCTAAAATCAAATTATAGTGTCTAAGCTGACTAGGAAATTTTGGTCTCCAGTAGGTTGGACTACCGTAACTCTAAATGAGCTGTAAATTAGCTGCAGTATATGCACAATGCTGCAGCTCGAGTCTTGACTAGAACCAAGAAGTACTTTCACCTTAGTTCAGTTCTCAGGTCTCTGTACTGGCTTCACATGGATTAGAGAAGAGACTTTAAAGACTCTCTGCTTGTCTACAAGTCCCTCCATGGCCTACATCTGGGACATGTTAGTGCCATATGAAAACAAAGGGACTGGTGCCCAGAGTCAGGACTCTGGGCACCAGCAGGAGGCCCAGATGGCCCAGATGTAAGCCATGGAGGCACTTACAAGCAGTGATTCTTTAAAGTGAATCTCTGCTTGTCTAAAAGACTCTGGGGTGGAAGCATTTCAGAAGATGTATGCAGCTAAGGTCTGGAACAGTCTTTAGTGAAAGACAGGCTCCTACTGTGACAATTTTCAAATCCAGGTTGATAACAGTTCTGTGCATACAACTAAAGAATTGTATCATCACTCTTCTTAATGCACTGTGATTATTTATAATTTTAATGCCTTGTGTAATTTCAATGTTTGTTTTTAATGCCCTGTGCAATTTTTGTATGAACTTAATGGTTGTTTTAAAATATTATAATGCATGATTGTAATGTTTATATTGTGTTATATGGGTTATGAAGCACTTTGTGTTACTTTGGTTGGGAAAATATTGCTTATGACACCCGTAAAAGATCATAGTTTTATCTAAAAATACTGATGAGCCCCTCACTGCTATAATCTGACACGTTTCATTTGCAAAAATATTCAGTAATATGGCAAGTAGGCTACTGTCACTACTTTTTGAAAAAGAAAAATAACAATAACAATACTTAAAACACAACAGATGACATATTTGACATGTGTTCAAATTTACAATAATACATTTGGGTATCCCAGCTATACTTTTAATACCTCCGTGTTTGATACGGGCCGATCTCTCTACAGTCTATGCTAATCCCAATACTGTGATCGAGTTTGCCAGGTTAGCATCATGCAGAGACAGTCACAAAACGCCACTAAACAAACAGAAAAAGCGTTGTGCATTTGTCGGGACATGATCTGTTTATACAGACACAGTCATAGGAGATAATCCAACCCACCACACGATGTTGTTCTTTCTGACAGCCGTGTGCTCTGCAGATCCCCCTGATGCTAATACTAAACTCGGCCTTCATCACTTCCGCCATGGAGCCACGAGACTGACCGTGTGAGCTGCGTGTGACCCGGGTGTCTGCGGGGGTATGGGGCTCTCTGGGCCGTAGAGCGGCTTACCTATACTGCATCAGGCAGGTGCTGGGCATGCTGGGGCGGTGTGGTCGTGGTGTGTGCCCGTGTCTCTAGATGTAAACAGTAGCGGCTGACAGACGCGGATGTACGGGGATCAGCTGATGGCTCACGTGATCAAAGGAACACACACGTGACTGACTGCAGTCCATCAGAAGTGCCCATTTAATGATAATATAATAAACTTTATTTGCTGTGCGAACACGTCTGCATTAATCTCTTATAATAATCCTCGTCTACCCTCTTGGTAATGCCCAAATGTACCACTGTGCCAAAATCCACCTGTGCATCAGATTTATTTTGAGTCATTCTTTTAGATATAGGCCTTCTTAAGGAGGACAAAAACTGCCAAAATAATACATATATCAATAAATTAAGATATAAATAAATATCTGATGAATTGTCATGTTTATTTATTGCACGTGAAGCACGGTTTCTGAAGAAAAACAACAATTTAAGAGCAACGTGGACCAGGAACTGCAAAGTATTCATTCAACTCAATGGATCTTCACCGGAGACTGCAAAAGTTATACTGGTAAGAGAACTTGGAGACCTTGAGAAGTTCAAATAATCATATAATGTATTTCTCAGCTAGGAATGTTCTTGTTTTGTTTTTGTTTATATTTTTTGAGGAGCCAAGGAGTCTTTTTGACATGCTGAGATTGTTTTTGTTTTTTTCTTGCTGTGCAAGCAGAGACGATTTTCTCTTCCTTCTTCATGGACAATTATGTCTAGCACTGAGGACAATAACAGGTATAAGAATACTATATTTCAGTTTTTTGTTGTATTGTTGCTATTGTTATTGTTATTTGTGTGTGTGCGTGTGTTTGTGTGTGTGTGTGCGTTTGTTTTGTAGACATATGAGAACTTTGGTATGATAACACACCTTCAATATAGGGACCTGAGAAAATACAGGGAGGTATTTTAGGTCCCCATTTTTCAATGCATACTATAGTGTCGTAAAGACCCAAAACAAGCTCCACACCAAAAATCAAGCATGTCCCAAGATGTCCACAAATTGTGAAAATATGTGTCGGGGTCCCAAAAAGTTTTATACGCCCTCTATGGTCGGGCATGGAACTACCTTAACACACTTTTACCACACACATTCAACCTTATAAAGTATGTCACCTATTTTGTCACAAATTTAAATACATTCCCCGACGTGGTAAGAATAGCCAAAATATTCACTCAAGCTAATTTAACAACATACTTGAGTATGACGAAAAAAAACTTTCAGCCAGAAGTAATCTTTATTAATATACAGCTTCAGTCCTGGGTCTTAAGTCTCAGTCTCAGTCCTGGGTCTACAGCCACAATCCTGGGTCTAGAGCCTCAGTCCTGGGTCCATAGCCGCAGTCCTGGGTCTACAGTAAGTAAGTAGTAGTAAGTAATCTTTATTTATATACCGCCTTTTCACTGCACATCGGAGTCTCAAAGCGGTTTACAATTGTTATTTTTAGGGCATTTGTCCTCTCGCTCCACACAGAGATGGGAGTATAGGAGGCGCATGCCAGACATATTGTACATATTTTTAGTGGTAGGGGAAACCGGAGTACCCGGAGGAAACCTACGCAGACACGGGGAGAACATGCAAACTCCACTCAGAAAGGCCCTGGTCCGACAGGGATTCGAACCCAGGATCATCTTGCTGAGAGGCAAGAGTGCTATCCACTCAGCCACCGTGACGCCCTACAGCCGCGGTCCTGGGACTACAGCCGCAGTCCTGGGTCTATACAGCCTCAATCCTGAGTCTATATTGCCGCAGTCCTGGGACCCCTCAACCCAAGTCCTGGGACTCCTCAGCTCAAGTCCTGGGACTCCTCAGCCCAAGTCCTGGGTCTATAGCCGCAGTCCTGGGACTACTCAACCCGAGTCCTGGGACTCCTCAGCCCGAGTCCTGGGTCGAAAACCGCAGTCCTGGGTCTATAGCCGAAGTCCTGGGTCTAGAGCCTCTGTCCTGGGTTTATATTCTCAGTACTGGGTCTATACAGCCGCAGTCCTGGGTGTCCTACGCCCCAAACCTGGGTCACCTCAGCCCGAATCCTGGGTCTCCTCAGCCCGTGTCCTGGGACTCCTCAGCCCCGAGTCCTGGGTTGAAAACCGCAGTCCTGGGTCTATAGCCGCAGTCCTGGGTCTATACAGCCCAAGTCCTGGGTCTACAGCCTCAGTCCTTGGTCTACAGCC